TTCATTTTAGTCACTATCTAGAACAAACAGTACATTGTACATCTTTACTGAGTAACAATTCCTCTTATCTTTATAACTGTAGTGTTCGAACAGAAATCATCATATCCTTTATATACAGTGGCCAACTTAATCATAGACTGCATAAAATTTCAGAGCCACCTGACATGTACATGTATATACATTTCTACATGCATGTTCTATTGCAGATCCTGTATATTTCTAGCAAGGACATCAAATACAACTTTGTATAAAATACATGCTATGTGTTTAATTATTTCATGAAATTATTTGATTTTTTCGCTTGTTTGGTCAAGATTTTAAAAGAATATTTCATTCAGACTTAAACCAGTCAAATAAAAGACAAAAATCATCTTGTATAAATTATTAAAATGCATTTAGCTTTGAGCTATATTGAAAAACATTCAAGACTTCAAAAGAATATTTAGATTGAACCAGTCAAATAAAAGACAAAATCATCTTGTATAAATTATTAAAATGCATTTAGCTTTGAGCTATATTGAAAAACATTCAAGACTTCAAAAGAATATTTAGATTGAACCAGTCAAATAAAAGACAAAATCATCTTGTATAAATTATTAAACTGTATTTAGCTTTGAGTTATATTGAATACTATTGCAGGTTTACCATGTTGTGCACAGTTTGGTTACGATCAGTGCTGGTATAGAGCTGTGTATTTAGCCTATATTGAATACTATTGCAGGTTTACCATGTTGTGCACAGTTTGGTTACGATCAGTGCTGGTATAGAGCTGTGATAGTCAGTGTTTATCAGGAAACACAACAGATACTTGTACTATTTGTTGATTATGGGAACTCAGAGGTCACAACCTATAACAAGTAAGCTCTCATGTATTTCTCAGTTCAGAGTTATCAATCTGCTTAGCTCAATTCAGCACTATAGGTAGAGAGTTAGGTTAGAGAAACTCAGATTTGCTTATTTCCTTTGTGTGATGCATATTTTTATGCCCCCAAAGGGAGGATTAATATAATCACACCGTCTGTGTGTCCGGACTGTAACTTTGTCATACATTGAGGGATTTTGAAATAACTTGGCACAAATGTCTACCACATCAAGAAGATGTGTCTTGTCCTAGAAGCGTGTCCCTACCTCAAAGGTTAAGGTCACACTATCATTTTGAAAGTTTCACATTATCGCAATTAGAGTAAATAGGTACACGCAATTTTGTGTCCAGACTGTAACTTTGTCATGCATCAAATGATTATAAAATAACTAAGCATAATTGTCTACCACATCAAGACGATGTGTCGCGTCCGAGAATAACGTCTCTACCTCAAAGGTCAAGGTTACACTGGCATTTTGAAGTTTCACATTATCTTAATTAGAATTAATAGGTACACACAATTGTGTCCGGGCTGTAACTTTGTCATGCATGGAAGGATTTTAAAATAACTAGGCATAAATGTCTACAACATCAAGACATTGTGTTGCGTCCAATAATCACATCCCTACCTCAAAGGTCAAGGTCACAATACCATTTTGAAGTCTACTTTATCACAATTATAGTTTCTAGGTACACACATTGATGTTCGGGCTGTAACTTTGTCATGCATTGAAGGATTTTACAAAAACTAGGCATAAATGTCTACCACATCAAGACAACATGTCGCAACAAAGACCCATATCCCTACCTTCAAAGTCAAGGTCACATTTATAGTTTGAAGGTACTTATTATCTGGAGAAGAGTTTGAAGATACACATTCATGTCCGGACTGTAACTTTGTCATGCATTTAGGGATTTTGAAATAATTTGGCACAAATGTCTTATCTCATAACAACATTTTGTCGCGTCCAGGAACCACGTCCCTTCTTCAAAGGTGAAGGTCACACTTATATTATGAAGATTCATGCTATCACAATTAAAGATTACTGGTACAATAATACAAGGAACAATATTCAGCAATTAGTTACTTTCATTCTCTTTTCTTTACATAATACCTGCATGCTTAAGAAACCTTTTTGGGGGCATTCGTCACTAGGGTGACAGCTCTTGTTTATTGCAAAAATGTGGTTCATTACAAAATATTTACATTTGTATATTGATTTGTTTTTTAAAATCCGTTTTAAGTGATACATGTGAAGAAGTTGGCAGTTGCTTTGTGGTAAAAACCCGAAAAGATATTCAGAATCTAGTATCACTACTTGGGTAACTTTTTCCTGAGAGAAAAACTAGCTTAATTAATGGTGCACAAAAATGAAAAGCATTTCAATTTGTGGATTGGAAACATATATTAATGTAGTATTTTCAAATCAGGTATTGTACATTGTAAATTCTTGTGATTTTTCTTTAATTTTCAGATTACGTGCTATACCACCAAGCTACCTTACTCTTCCTTGCCAGTCTTTAAGATGTGTTGTATCAAGATTAATGCCCCCAGCAAACACCGTCTCTTGGACCAAAAATGCCCTAGTGGAAATGATGTCTGCAGTAGCGAATAAATTAATCTTGGCTAAGGTTGTGGTATGTATGGTTTTGAACCTGCTAAATCAATAATGAAATCCCAGACTGTCTCAAACTTTTTATACTTTGATAATGAAATCCCCTAAACTTTGAATAGACTGTTTCAAACTTTTTATACTTTGATAATGAAATCCTCTAAACTTTGAATAGACTGTTTCAAACTTTTTATACTTTGATAATGAAATTCCCTAAACTTTGAATAGACTGTGTCAAACTTTTTATACTTTGATAATGAAATCCCCTAAACTTTGAATTGACTGTTTCAAACTTTTTATACTTTGATAATGAAATCCCCTAAACTTTGAATTGACTGTGTCAAACTTTTTATACTTTGATAATGAAATCCCCTAAACTTTGAATAGACTGTGTCAAACTTTTTATACTTTGATAATGAAATCCCCTAAACTTTGAATTGACTGTGTCAAACTTTTTATACTTTGATAATGAAATTCCCTAAACTTTGAATGGACTGTGTCAAACTTTTTATACTTTGATAATGAAATCCCCTAAACTTTGAATTGACTGTGTCAAACTTTTTATACTTTGATAATGAAATCCCCTATACTTTGAATTGACTGTGTCAAACTTTTTATACTTTGATAATGAAATCCCCTAAACTTTGAATTGACTGTGTCAAACTTTTTATACTTTGATAATGAAATCCCCTAAACTTTGAATTGACTGTGTCAAACTTTTTATACTTTGATAATGAAATCCCCTAAACTTTGAAATGACTGTGTCAAACTTTTTATACTTTGATAATGAAATCCCCTAAACTTTGAATTGACTGTGTCAAACTTTTTATACTTTGATAATGAAATCCCCTAAACTTTGAATTGACTGTGTCAAACTTTTTATACTTTGATAATGAAATCCCCTAAACTTTGAATAGACTGTGTCAAACTTTTTATACTTTGATAATGAAATCCCCTAAACTTTGAATTGACTGTGTCAAACTTTTTATACTTTGATAATGAAATCCCCTAAACTTTGAATTGACTGTGTCAAACTTTTTATACTTTGATAATGAAATCCCCTAAACTTTGAATTGACTGTGTCAAACTTTTTATACTTTGATAATGAAATCCCCTAAACTTTGAATTGACTGTGTCAAACTTTTTATACTTTGATAATGAAATCCCCTAAACTTTGAATAGACTGTGTCAAACTTTTTATACTTTGATAATGAAATCCCCTAAACTTTGAATTGACTGTTTCAAACTTTTTATACTTTGATAATGAAATCCCCTAAACTTTGAATTGACTGTTTCAAACTTTTTATACTTTGATAATGAAATCCCCTAAACTTTGAATTGACTGTTTCAAACTTTTTATACTTTGATAATGAAATCCCCTAAACTTTGAATTGACTGTGTCAAACTTTTTATACTTTGATAATGAAATCCCCTAAACTTTGAATAGACTGTGTCAAACTTTTTATACTTTGATAATGAAATTCCCTAAACTTTGAATAGACTGTTTCAAACTTTTTATACTTTGATAATGAAATCCCCTAAACTTTGAATTGACTGTGTCAAACTTTTTATACTTTGATAATGAAATTCCCTAAACTTTGAATTGACTGTGTCAAACTTTTTATACTTTGATAATGAAATCCCCTAAACTTTGAATTGACTGTTTCAAACTTTTTATACTTTGATAATGAAATCCCCTAAACTTTGAATTGACTGTGTCAAACTTTTTATACTTTGATAATGAAATCCCCTAAACTTTGAATAGACTGTGTCAAACTTTTTATACTTTGATAATGAAATCCCCTAAACTTTGAATAGACTGTTTCAAACTTTTTATACTTTGATAATGAAATCCCCTAAACTTTGAATTGACTGTGTCAAACTTTTTATACTTTGATAATGAAATCCCCTAAACTTTGAATTGACTGTGTCAAACTTTTTATACTTTGATAATGAAATCCCCTAAACTTTGAATAGACTGTGTCAAACTTTTTATACTTTGATAATGAAATCCCCTAAACTTTGAATTGACTGTGTCAAACTTTTTATACTTTGATAATGAAATTCCTTAAACTTTGAATAGACTGTTTCAAACTTTTTGTACTTTGATAATGAAATCCCCTAAACTTTGAATAGACTGTGTCAAACTTAAGGGTTTGGCAAATCTATAAACAAATTCAACAAGCATCGGTCAGTCCAAACAATTTTTAAAACAACATCTACTAAATGTCTGGGTGAATGCCATCAAAACTGTACAGTTCTTTGTGAGACCTCTTTCAAAAAACCTTCATTCCCTGCAGAAATGGTTGCCAAGAGTACCACAAAAGAAAGACTTAAATCTTTTTTAAGATTTTGATATACTTGTTGTTGTTTTTTTCCACAGAAAAGATCATTGAAAATCCTTTTTCAAGCTTGTTTTGTTTAAATAACATTGAATGTTAAAAAAACAAACAAACAAAACCAAAAAACATAAACCTATATGTATGATTTTAATAGAGATTTTAGATTGTGAATTCCTTCGTTTAACAGTAAACTTTATTATTATTTAAAAAAAAACGTATTATTTTTAGAAAATTGATCCAGTGACAGTTGAGTTATATGAGGGCAGTGAAGATGAGGGTTTTGTATACCAGTCTGTGATTGATGGAGGATATATACAATTAGATACTTCATCAGGGTCAGTAAAAGATTGATTTATCAGATATAGCCAATGATTGGATTAAAGTGTATAATGCTATATATATATGATGCAAAAATTATTGTTAATTATAAAAAGTATACTTCCAAAATGCTTGTATGAAATAAATATGGTAATTTATTTCCTTAAAAGTGAATGGCGCATGCAAAAATTATTGCTAAACGGATAAAACCGTACTAAAAATAGCAAATAATATTTTGTTCCGTAACTTTTTTATTCTGTTTACATACATTTCATGTGTCTTATGTGAGTAAGCTATCCAACTAGCTGATGGAAGATCTGTGACTGTAGCCATGTGCCACCCAATAAACCTGGAAGGTCTCCATATGACCTTGACTTAAAACCCAACAAAACAAATTGTCATATTTTATAGTAAAAGTTTGTTCTTCTAATAACATCTGAAAATTGGGATCTAGAGATAAATGAAAAGATGCTTTAAAAGTTAAAAAGGAATAGTAGATGATGGATTTTCTGTTAATCATTTACAGAATTAAAAGAGTGTTTAAAAATGATTTTTATCCTCTTGTATTTCATTATGTTATTTTGTATTGCTGTAGTGATACACCAGATACTAGTCCAACAATAAAGGAAGTATTTACAGCAACAAATGCAACAGAGGAGAAAAAAGTTCCTGATGTGGTTGTTAAAAAATCTGCTAATGTCAGCAATAAATCAGAGACAGTATGTGAACCTGCAGAACAAGATAACAGTGTAACAAAAGCTACAAGTGGTGTTGTTGACAAGGTAACAGAGGTTGCTATGGCAACTGGGAATGATAAACATGTGGTTAATGAAGCAAGTGCTAGAATTTCAGAAATTACAATAGATAGTACAACAGACGATGACCGAAGTGAAACTAGTTCTGTCTCCGCGCCATCCGTTTCTACGACAACTGCAGAAAGAGTGAGTAAGTCAAGCAAGTCATGGGCTGAAATGGCAGAGGACGGATCGTCTGTTGACATCGATGAAATCCTAGAATTTGAAGACTCTGAACATGATAAACAAAGCAGTGCTTCAGAGGTAGATCAGGTAGTCAAGGAGTGTACAGTGAAGCAAGACGGTAAAAAAACACGAAAGGACAGGAAGAAATTAAGTGTAGAAGAGAGAAAGAAACTTCGAGAATCTAGAAAAGTGGAAGTTGTTCAGCACGGTGACGAGTGTTTTGACTGAAAAAAATTAAATGATGAAGAGAAATTCTGCTGTGTTATTAAAGAGAGTTAAGTGCTACATAACACTGTTTCATCTTTGAAAATATGAAAATAAACTTCATATTTGATTGTAACAAGTGGGCTCAAACAACTCATATAATGTTTATAGGGTCTGTCAGGGCAGAAAAATGCATAAAATGTTGTACAGATTATGCTTATTTTAAGACAAGCTCTGTTATGACGATCATATTGTTACTTAATGTTACGCAATCATTGAACATTGTCACAATATCATGTGTGCTACACAAGTTAATTTGTTACATGTAATTTGTTTGTTTTCTGTACTGAAAGTACATTTTCTTTTTCTATTCTTTTTTAAGTTTTTCAGCTATTGTGTCTAAAAAAGACATTTTTTTTCTTAATTTAACAATTACTTTTCCCTTGTTCATATTGTTAATTATTTGATTTGTTGAAAATACAACACTGTTTCCTTGTATACATGTAGTTATTGATATAAATCGAAAATGTACAAATTCTATGTTATATGATTCATATTAGGTAGAAGGAAGTACAATGCTATTTCCCAGTTAAACTATAGTTAAAATTTGGTTTATAAAGCACTATTTCCTTGTTTACATGTTGTTCCTTATTGGGTTACACTATTTACCTGTTTAGCTATTAATCAAAAGTACAACACTATTTGTTTACCTTTTGATAAAAATTGGGTTTGTAGAAAAAACCAATGATACTTTTTTGTTTACCTATTGATAAAAATAGAATTTGTTAAATACAACCCTGTTTCATTGATTGTTAGCTAATACATATTTGGTTCTTTATTTAGCTATTTTAACACTTAAAACTTAGGTTTGTTGAAAATCTGCTGCTATTTCCATATCTGATCAGGTTTATAGAAAATACAACACTATTTCCCTGTAAAGCTATTTACAAATTGGGTTTATATATAGAAAATACAACACTATTTCCCTGTAAAGCTATTTACAAATTGGGTTTATATATAGAAAATACAACACTATTTACCTGTAAAGCTATTTACAAATTGGGTTTATATATAGAAAATACAACACTATTTACCTGTAAAGCTATTTACAAATTGGGTTTATATATAGAAAATACAACACTATTTACCTGTAAAGCTATTTACAAATTGGGTTTATATATAGAAAATACAACACTATTTCCCTGTAAAGCTATTTACAAATTGGGTTTATATATAGAAAATACAACACTATTTCCCTGTAAAGCTACATTGTATTTACAAATTGGGTTTATATATAGAAAATACGACACTGTTTCCCTGTTCAATCAGGTTTATAGAAAATACCACACCATTTCTCTGTTAAGCTATTGATACAAACTGGGTTTAAAGCAAATACAATGCTATTTCTATTGACAAAATTTTGGTTTGTTATTAAATACAACACTGTCTCCCTGTTTAACTATTGATACAGTCATATTTGTAGAAAATACAATGCTATGTCTTGCTGAACAATTGTTACAAATTAGGTTTGTACTAAATATAATGCTTATTTCATTCCCTAGCTATTGTTACAAATAGGGTTTCACTACTTCTCTGTTTAGTTATTGACAGTATTGATACAAATTTTGTAGAAAATACAAAGGTTGTAATAATTTCTTTATAAAATGCTCAATAATCAAGGGAACTTTTATTTAATAGCATATTCCTTATCTTCAACATTTTTTATGTTTGATCTGTTAAAATCCAGACATATACATGTATATGCACAAACTTATGTTATACAGTTTAATCAAATATGCATGTTACCCAACTTCATTTCAAAAATAATGTCGTTCAAACTTCTAATTCTTACTCTCTACTTAGTCAGCATCAAGATGCACCAATTTTCTGTGTCATCTGATCCATTTTTCACCAATCAATGAATAGGGATACCATACCCTAAGTTTAAATTGTTCAGTTCAGAAACAGAGTCAACTTAATATACCCTCAAAGCCACTTTAAGATAAAACGAGAAAACTCAAAATTCAATGTGGGTGTATAGTGGTTGATAAAAAAAAACTGTCACTTGTAACCCTAGCTGTTTTCAATTGGCCCTGTATCCAAATATTTGTCATCTTTAAAGTTTCTGTTAGTGTTTTAAAAGAAAATTTAACTAAATTTCGCAACCAACTGATGTTATTTGGACAGAAAGATAATGAAATAGTGTCATTTCTGTTTAAATGATGCTGAAGTAACATCATAACGTCACTTTACAAGCTAACTTATCTGGGTGCAAACAATGGATTTCAGTTTCATTTCAAACTATATACTTGCTGCAAATGCAGGTACTCGCCACAGTGAACTACTCAAAATTATACAAACTTTCAGAATAATCCTCATAAAATGCTATTTCTTTGTTCATCTAAAGTTACAAATTTAATAGGTTTTTAGGTTTCCTGTTTAATTATTAATTTGGTTTGTAGAACATTCAGTGCTATTTATTTGATTAGCTATTGTTACAAATAATAATTATTGGGTTATACCACTTTCCTGTTTAATTACTGATACAAATTAGGTTTTGTAGAAAAAACAATGCTTAGATTTCTTGTATTAGCTATTCCAACAATTTTAGTTTGTAGAAAATTAAATGCTATTTTTTTTCTTAGCTATTGTTACAAATAGGTTTTACATGACTTCCTTGTTTATTTATTGATACAAAGTTGGTTTGCTCAAACAAAGTGCTCTTATATAATTATTAACATAAATTAAACAACTTACATTTGTATTTCATTGTGCACCTCACAAGTGTATGCAGATCTAATATACCTTCATTTGAGGAAGTAATCTAGTCATTTTTGTTTGAGAAGATGACAAATTCAATTGATACATTATAAGATTGTACAAGAAAAATTCTACAACATCTATGTGTTGTTTGTTGGATCTTACTTATAGCAATTGAAAAAAGTTTTTGATCAGTTACCTGTTTTTATTTTGATGAGGAAATAGTTTATTAGTGAAGAATGTCATTATGAAAATCTTATTATTTATTTCTTTTTACAAATGTTTGGTAAACATTAGAAATGACTTTATTTACACTGGGACATAATATATACTGGAAAAGAAGTCTAATGTTGGCGCCCAAGTGACAACCAATGATTGAAAAGCATAGTGTTTATATCGTATTTTAATGACCGTTACTGTAGAAATTACATAGATGAATTTCCATAACATCATGTTAAGACCATTTAAATACAAAGAATTGTTAATATCTTACGCCCTTTTTGTTTATATTTATTATATATACACCAGTCAACAATTAATAGACAAAAATACCATTTAACAACATGACAAAAGGGCGGTGCATGCAGCTAAATGGAAAAAAAGATACCACAGGACGTATCTCCAGTTCTTTGTCACATAATATTATGTCCCTGGTTCATCTTTAATTAAAGTCTTTACATTTATTTTTGAGATTTTTTTATACTCCCAAGTTTGAATAAACTGCTCTTCAAAAAAACTTGCGTAATTATATAAATTGTTCAAGATTTTGTTAATAATGTTGTTTTGTTGTTGTTGTTTTACATTATTTTTTTTTTTAAATTTTGTGTTAAATATGTTTTTTTATCTTTCTGTATTGAAAAGTCATCATTTTCTTTCTTAATTTTCTCTCAATTTTGTACCGGAAATTTTTTTTTAAATAATATAAAATTATATTTTAAATCTGAACAACCTTTGCAACTTTAACTTTGTTTTGTGAAAAAAATTAACTTTTGTATATTCATTTTCTCTCATTGGAACATTTTGATAAAAAAAACACTGACAATTGTTTGTTACATTTAGTTGAAAATGTTTGTTGAATAAACTGTTTTCTGAAAAACTTTGTTGGTTTTTTTTTTGGTATTTTTTTGGCCAGTATAATAAAATTTACAACATTGTAGTTCATTCAGTTTTTAGTGCAAGTATAAGACGTAAAGTGACATTATCCAAATTTACCTTTGACACAGTATCTGGTTTTGTGTGCAACTTTATGACAATATGTTGCCTTAAACACCTGAGGTATAAACTTGAAATATTGCACATGCCTATGGAATTATAATAATTAAATGGAATCTGGAACATTTGCCCATTTTCTTAAAATGCATAATCGGACATTTGCCCCAAGGTAGAAAGGACAGATTCTCCAAGTTTTGAAACTTGCTAAATGTATGACATATGCAGTCCTAAGCTTATGTTTTAATATGATTGCATTATTATTGAAATAAATACATTATAATTTGAAAGTAAACAAGAGTGCATTTGATATACTTTAACCATTAAAGGTACTCCCTTGGATCTAGACTGATGACTGACCAAGACCCTATAACTGTAGCATTGGTTTTCACTGAAAATTTCTTTATTGTGGACTTAGGAAAAAAAACCTACATTGCCCTTGTGATAAGAAAACTCTCCATCCAACAGCTTCAAGTAATATTTTGTGCCAATATTTTTGAATTTACTGTTATACAAAATAATAAATTGAAATGGACTAATTATAGCAAAATTCTTAAAACCTGTATGTGTTTCAGTCTGAAATTAAATCATTTGATATTGTAAATTAGAATCTTATCCAGTAGGCCAATGCTTTGCTCAACTTTCCCCCTGTCATATCCTAATATTGCTACCTTTGATATTGTAAATTAGCATCTTATCCAGCAGGCCAATGCTTTTCTTAACTTTCTTCCCGTCATATCTCCGTGGTGACATTGTCATGATCAGTCAGCAAATAGCTAACAGAATTGTTACGGTGTTACCCCTGAACTAATACTTGTATGCCACCAGGGAAATCAGTATGTCACTATGATAACATCTGTGTCACTAGTAGATTTGAAACAAAACAGAACATGACTAGTTTTTGCTATACAAGTTTATTTTCAAATGATACATGCACTGTACAACAATGCATACAAAAAGAACATAATTCCATTCAATAACCATGGCAACAGATAGGATGGAAGAAATGTCATGTAATAAGGTTTCCACATTTTGTTTCTAGATTGTCCATGTTGGCCTCAACATATAGAAACTTTAACTATAATGATGTAATGAAAACACAGAATTAGCTACTTTGTTGAGGGATCACATAAGTTGGTGTTAAAGCAGCATGCCTCCAGATTCATGTTAATTTTGATGAAAATGTTGGAAATGTATTTAATAGTAAAATATTGTGAGGTGAACAAATGAAGTAATTAATATGTGCAAAGGGCACTTATAATCCAAGAAAATTACCAAAAAGTGGTCAACATACGCAAAAACAGCCCTTACTGTGTTAGTAACGCAGTGGAAATATGGTTATAAATTACTGCAAAATCAGTCTTGAACCGCACATAACATGTAAAAATAACCTTGTATCTTGAATGTTTTTACCTTTCTTAACATTTTAGTACATTTTTTTCAAAACTGACTTTCAAATATTTTGGCTCATCTGGAGGCATGCAGCTTTAATTTGTTCTATATCTAATGTCAAAAGAAAGGGGGGTCACTGTGTTGAGATTTTCTACCATACAAAGAAATAATGATAAAATACATATTATAATAAACTTTCAACATTTCTTTTGAACTAAAATAATGAAGATGAAAACAAAGGGAAAGAGTGGAATTAAACATTTTATGGTAGCGTCTGTCTACGAAAGCTTTTTTTAAATTTAAAACACATAGAAGGTGACTAAATCAATTTTTGTGTTTTTTTTTATGTATTTCTGGATGAATATTTTTAATATTTTATGAATTATATGAAAAGTAAAATCTGTCATAATTAGTAATGGATTATATAAATGGTGAGATAATGGTCAGTAAATCAGCAATTATTAATAGGAAAGAGTTCTCATAGCAAGAATTGGAACAACATGGATCATGATTTATATTTTAATGAAATAATCTATGGATTATTAGAAATAAATCTACATACAAAAAAAAATTGGATAAATATTCATTTCTTTGAAAGAATACTGGTTTCTTAAGCTCTATTTTATTCCATTTTATAAAATTTTTAATTTGCCTTACACAAACTCAACTTTTATTTTTTATTATATATTCTTTAAGCCAAGCTTTCCAAAATCCATCAAAACTGGCACACAAAAAAGACCCTGCTTATTTACAAAATATCGTTTATCAAATCATTTAAAAAAAGAAGAAATGCTGGTAATTATTTGTGTATATCACCAGGCAAAGAAAAACCTAAGTACAAATATAATTATACAAAAGGACTAAATTCTACAGTTCTAATAAGTTGCGCCTATATTTTGAACCTATACCAGTTAAAAATCAGGCTAGCCTGAATGTCCATGCCATCTGACACAAATATAAATTGATAATTACTGAATTTTAGGATTTTTTATATGAAATACCTGTAAACTACAAATAGGCTGTTCCAAAGTCCAAGCTTGAAAAGTCCATTTTATAAATTAAGAGTTATGGGGTTTATTTCTATAATCAGTAAACCAAGACCCAACAAATGTGTAGAATACGGGAAAGTACATCATACTGTTTCAGCACTATAAACTTTAATATAATTTCTATGTTGTAGGAATGTTAACGGAACACACTTGGGGGTGAAGGAAAATAGAGGACTAGGAATGTCATGGTTGTGATGTGCAAGATCTTTATACTCTAAAAACGTAACTTTATATTTTAAACAAGATCTTTATACTCTATATTTATTTATCCTAAAACGCAATCTTTATGCTCAAAACTTTTATAAAAATGCCATTGATTCATTATTAGACCCTTGAAAAAAATAATCCCAAATTGTAAATTTTTTACCAAAGATCACAAACAAAGAGTATACAAACTAATAAAATATTAATAAAAATATGTTTCACTCACTGATAGCTCTAAAATTAAGTGCCTTTAAAATTATGAAGCTTCTAATGAAACTTCCACCATGTCACTAAAAGATTAATTCTTGAGGATACATTTTTTGTAATATTAAATGTACTAGTATGGTGATAAATACTTGAATCATGTAATCCTGTCTTATTTTACAAATGTATACAGTCAATGTTTTTCATCCAGGTTTATATTCCAGGAAAATGGTCATTATATACATATATATTTATAAATGAATTTCTCTCCATTCAAACTAGTGGACATTTTAACTTTTATAAAATCCTACTCTACAACAGCACACTTTTTAACAACCATCTCTGGTAAAACAATCAATATATCTATGTTCAATATTCAACGAAATTTAAAAATTTGTAAACCATTAAACATGTGATTATAACAGCAACCTAGCACTTCTATAATGACAGGGGTATATGTATCTACAAACATACATATCTTTTATACACAAATTACAATTTAGTAAAAATAAAAAACAAGAGCACCTCATGCGGTGTTAATTCTCCTCTGTTAAGGGCAACAAGTATCATCAACCAATTTTAACAAAAATTTGAAGTTAAAAAGGGGCACAACTCCAAAAATATAGCTTTCAGAATTATGCCCCTTGTCTCAGAACTGCACCTTGTCATGATAAGCAAATCTCATGTTGATAACTAGTTCTTGAATAATGGGCTTCATTAAAATTTTTGCATGACAACGAAAACAACAATGCAGTAATCATAATACATGTAGCTCGATTTTTTCTTGGAAACAGACGAGCTAAAAAACATTAAAATTATAATAAAAAATGAACTAATAATGAATATACATAGCTTTCAATATAAATTCTTAATATAAGTAAGCTTTTCAAAGATTGTATGCATTTAAAATTGTTTAACAGGGATTGTCTTTAACATCTGTACCATTAGTTATAGAAGTGTCAACCAGATATCTGTTTATCCTGGCCGGACTGCTAGATTCCTATGTTTCAACATAAACATCCCATAAAGTAACAATACAATGTTCTAGATATAACACATCAAGTAAATCCAACATATTTAGCAGCATAAAAATCATGAATAGTCATTGCATTTCTGTGAAAAGCTTACTTCTCTGAGACAGAATTTGTATCCTGGAATTCCAAGTCTTAAGGATGACCAATTATTTACAAAAGAGCAAAAATATTCTGAGCATAGATGTATGAACACAAACTGTGGTTACTGCCGGTTACCATGGTGAAATTTACTGTGACATATCATAAAATTTACAACTCATGTAAAGTTACCTTATTATTAAGAGAACAATATGGGTCACTGATACCAGCCAATGTTCCCTTTTCCTCCCACAAAGGATTATGTATTTCACCATACTTTATATGATTTCAAACCATTAGATAATATGTCACAATAAATCACACTTCATCAACCTAGACTAAGCTAGCATGTACAATATCGTACCCTGAAAGAGTACCAATATTTTCTGGATACACTTGATTTCGCACAGCCATGTTGAAATAATCCACATGGGTTTTAGCTTCTTGTCTGTCTACAAGGTTCGCACAGTCTACACTTGTGTTTGCCCAGAATTTTTTCGGCTCTGTGTCCGGAGACAATTGTTCAACCGTAGTCTCAGAGATATTTGACATAGAGTAGTTTGATTTGGATGATGATGATGAGTAAAGTTTTCCTCGCTGGAAACTACTATATACAGGCTCTGTCTGTACAGAGTCAAATGACATAACTGAGTTTGTTGAATCCAGTCGACGCTTTTTGCCATTTGTCCTTGGTCCTCCATTTTGCATAACAAGAGCGTAAGCGGAATTTACATTTTGCGGATAAACAGAATCGGAGCACGAGACACTTGATGTACTAATCGTACCTCTAGAGCTACTCCGACAAGAATTTGGAATATTTTCAACAGTTTTCATAATAACTGAGTCGGCACTATTTTTTTGGTGAGAGAATATTTTCTTCACCTCTGAGTCATTTTCTTGGTCACTAATGGAACTACTTTTCTGGTTGACATATTTAATGTAGTCTTGACCTTGAGCATGGAAATTTTCTTTCACTGTCGTCTGCACATAATTTGGAACTTTTTTCGTAATATCAATAGATTCAGCTCCTTTCTCTCTTATTCTATTACCCTCTGAGTTATACATGTAATTAACAGTTCTCTCTTCAGGTAAAAATTCAATATAAGAAGGTACATAATTGGACTTCGGTTCCAGATAGTTAGCTGAATCCGTCTGCACCTGTTCAGTTGCATCTTTTGGTTCTGGAGAATCAAATGAAGTTGCTCGACGGATATTTCCATATGACTTGTGAGTTCCATATCCAGTCTGAAATATATCAATTTTCAGTTACAGGATAAAAAGGTAATGAATAGCAGAAAAACCAAAGCACAGGGTAATCTTGTTTCCGCTGATTTTGTAGAACAGAACATCATGTGATAAACTTGGAAGTCATCCTTGATAATAAGGATGGTAAGATTGATATAAAAATATGAGAATCCAATACATGTATCTATATATGTCAATATAATAAAACAGGAATGATAAACAGACCTGCCTGCAGATCATGCCTTTCATTAGAGCAAATTTAAAATAAGATGCTTTACAAATATGATTACTTTCATCACATAGCAGTAACTAAATACTAACAAATGTGTTAGTTAAAAGTTGTTGTTTTCGTTTTTCATCCGAAATTCTTCACACAAACTGAGTAATGAAGTGGAAATAGACTTAACTTATTAAGTAACTTATATAAGCTATGGATAAGTTAAAACTTTACTTATTAAGTTACTTATATAAGCTATGGATAAGTTACAACTTTACTTATTAAGTTACTTATATAGGCTATGGATCAGGTACATACATGATTTATATGAGAATATTCAGGTCCATCTGATGAGGTCGACGTCAGCCTCCTTGTCCTCCGGCTCAGGTACTTGTACCCAGCCACTGAAAATATATATACACATAGAGGATAATTATTGAATAAAATTGAGCCACGCCATGACAAAACCAACATTGCCCATCTGCGCAGTCTGATCAGGATCCATGCTGTTCACTATCAGTTTCTTTACTTGTAATGGGGTTTGTAAGCGAACAGCATGGATCCTGATCAGACTGCGTGGATGTGCAGGCTGGTCTGGATCCATGCTGGTGGCAAACGCATTATCTTGGTTTTGTCATGGCTTGGCTCAAATGTAGGTTTAATACTAAATTTATTGAATGAGTTTAATAAAATTATATTATGCGAGCCTATAAAAACAACAAGATAAATTGTATGATTCAAACTTGGAATTAATCTGTATCTGATATCAAATCTTTAAAATACAAACTTTTTTCTACCAAATCACAATGATGAGTATTTATATTGTTTGAATCTGGCAATGTAATTTCAATACAAGATTATTTCAATTCATATTGAAAGGCAATGTTCAAACGATTCATAACAATTAAAGCATGCTTATTAATTAATACACTTCAAAACATACAGATTGTCAAAACTTTAATAAATATGGATATCTTTATTTGTCTTTTAAGTGCCCTGTAGTTCCTAGAAAAATCCTGAATTTTTAATGTCTTTTTTTTTAATGCTGTGACAAATATTTAAAAAAATTAACATAAATTTAACAAATAAATTACAAATTTGATCCATTCAAATAATGATTACATACTTTAAATTTCAAAATTAACCCTGGGAAAAAGAAATGTTTACAGTAAGATTATTGCATTGAATTTTCAGTACACAATAGGTTTGAATTTTTTGTTTGTAGTAACTTATACACCATGTATTACATCAATAAAATCAATAAGTTTGTAGCACAAATAATTTAAAGTAAACACCATTTCATCTAAACTATGGAATAAATTACGACATTCTAGAAAAATAAACATATCAAAAACTGGGTAACAAACATGGATAATAACAAAATTAAAAAACTGCCAAAAAACATCAATGGAACTGTAGCAAAACAGATCAGGTGAACATGAAAAACTGGGTAATAAAACATTAATCAGAACAAAATCTAAAACACGAAAAACTGTAACATCTTCAAAAACAACAACAACAACAGTGCTCTCTACCTTTCACCCTCGGGCTTGGGTGTAGTGGGATGTACATCCCGTCCCCCTCGCCAATTCGGCCAACGAGGGTCACTTGCTGGTACAACATTTATACCACCTTAGATGTTTGCAATTTATAAAAAAAATGATGTAATGTATGCATTTATTTGTTATTAATCATTTAACTAATGGATCAAAAATATTTCCTCAAACATTTTTTTATGTTAAAAAACCTTACATGAGAGTCATATACCTGTAGTTTTTGAAGAGTTGTCTTAACTGACCAATGAAAATGCTAGATTTTGACTAGTTTAAAAATATAAATGAGATCTGCATCACTGTCTCAGTTAACAAGAAAAAAAATTGTACCCAAAAACTTGCTTTACTATACAGTAGTCTTAACCCTCAACATGTTAGAACCAGAAGTTATAACCCTGTGTCAGGGGTATAGAGCAAGGTCAGCCTGCACTTCTATGATGGTAGCTCAACTTTTTGTATTTTGATATTGAAATCCCTGAGACTCTGAAATGCTCTGACTTCACCACAGAGCAAATCCATTACACACATTCAGCATGTCAAGAGTTAATGTCAAAGCAGGCATAAGTGGAAAAACTAAGAGAAGAACAGATTTAAGTTATCAGTGTTGTGAAAATTACAGTAAATCCTGCATACTGGGATTAGTCTCAAGAGTACTGAACAAAGTTGGCAAATGACCCTTCAAAAACATGTTATTTTACCTAATATGAGCTTAATAAATTTGGGTCTTACTTAAAGTTTTTTTTCCCTTGATTTTGTATATTTGTATCAATGTGGTCTTAAGACTTGGGTTAGTCGGTATCATAAAATGATTCTTGTAAAACTATTCTTACCTGCAGCAAGGCTTCTGTTACTTGAGCATATTGGTACCAGGTACTCGGAAATACTTAAACAAGTTTCATGGAACTTTTCAAGCTTTTGAAGCAGGAAGGCAAAAGAAGGGCGGTCCTCTGGTTCAAAACTCCAGCACTTACACATCAACTGGTAACTGTAATAATATGTTTAAACATTTTGAAAATGTATAAAAGAATAATCAAAGAAAAATGACTTAGCTGGACAACTTGTATAGTGTAGATCTGCCAAAACTTCTACATGTGCAATCTGGCAAGACTCTATTTTGTAAGCTACTTAATGTAAGCATTTCCGCCATTGAAAACTCTTAAAGGCACATTATGCCTCAGAGACAAACAAGTTTTTTGTTCTTTAGATTGGGCAGACATAAGTTGTTTTATGATTAAATAATGGTCTTGGAGCATGGTACAGGCTTATCACCTAAACAAAGTGCTAAATATAAAATTATTTGTCATAAAATTAACAAAATGTAAACAAAGTAGTATTTTGACTTCAATTTAAACGAGTAAATCAATACAACTTTACTAATTGAAAGATGGTTCAGGCCATTGAGTTACTTTTTGAAAACTTTTAACACTAAAATAAAAGCATTTTTTTGACACAATGGACCTTTAAACCAACAATATTCTGTTCTAAATTGAAAGCAGAATAAGATCGTTATACAAATTATTGAGGTTAAAGGTTAAAAGTAAAACTAATTATAAAGCCGAGCTGAAATCTGTTACTGCACATGTTGTACTGAATTTATAAAAAACAAAACTGATATATTCTCAGTTAATGAAAAGGACACACTTTATTATAATAATTTGTCTAGATCATGTGACCATCACCTTTGCATGAATATATGTTATCAGAGGTAGCTTCCATTTATTTTAGTTTTTGAGGTACACAACCATTTCAAAAGTAGAAGAGGCAAAATTTTAGTATATATACTGGTATATTTTATAAGAAATTAAAACATACAAATCTTCAGGGCAGCTCTCAGGTCTATCAAGACGACCGGCACTACGTACAAAATGTAAGACGTCAATATTGGTACGAGCCGGGTAGGGCTGTTGTCCGAAGGTCACAACTTCCCACATCAATACTCCAAATGCCCTGTTCACAAAAAAAACATAAATACAGCAAATGTCTGATACAGGGAACCATTCTTCAGAAACAATTTATATAATCAATATTGATCAAATAATGAAATTGCCAGAAAATCTCACCAAAATTACATATATCTTTAAGAGTTCTGAATATGAAGTAAAGGCTTTTCATACTAATTTTTGCCATTTTATTTGCTTTTATCTGAAAAACTTCATTGGGAAAATATATGGAGAAATATTACATGTATCAAACAAAAGTGTATAAAATGAAAAATATCACAATATAAACATTGCTTATAACCCTCTGGAGCACAAGTATGTTAACTAATGCTGTATGAATACCCTGAAGCATAAGAAATACTAAATTTCAATTGTTGATATTCATTGAACAGTAAGTAAAAATCGTCAGCTTTATATATATATGCGGTGGGTGGGGTAATGCGGTAATTTCGCAATGAGCGTTCTAATGAGAGCCTCGTTAGAGCGCGGTGTTGAGACATTGGACCCCAACATGAGCGTTATAATGAGGCTGAAGTGTATTTCACTACTGAAATGATATCAGTAATAGGACTACACAAATCAGGACCTTTGAAATTACACATTTCATTACAAAACAAGAATTTATACAAAAAAACCTAACTTATTCATATATGAAAATCTTGTCTTACCAGATATCTGACTGTGTAGTAAACACGCCGTCCACAAGAGACTCCGGCGACATCCAGCGCACCGGAAGTAGACCTTCACCTTCTTTACGGTAATAGTCATTCTTGTATATATCCCGTGCCAGACCAAAATCTCCAATCTTTACTACCATTGTGTTTGGATCACACGAAGATACAAGACAATTTCTGGCTGCAAGGTCCCTGAATTGATGAAATATTCCTTACTTTATATAAATACAATATTGATACAAAGTCTGTACCACCTTTTATTTTTATTGAAAATCACATTTTCAAATCAAACTTTTTTAATTACAGAGCTGCCAAGCATAAGATATGCAAGGAAATAACAGCAAGAAAAGCATTGACTGAGTTTACATCTATAAAAAAAGAATATTTGCAATTCAAAGGGACTCCACTGATGCTTTTTTGACATGACAGGACTGGAAATAATTTTTCCATGATTTGTATACCATTTGAAGTTGGTCTAAACCAATACCTAGTGTGCAGATTTTTACATTATTCCATCGTCCTGTTCTTTTCAGAATTATCTTTTTTGTGTGTGTGTGCAATATGACATAAAATTAAGAATTACACAAATATCGATTTTCAATTCAGTTCTGAATATATTTCTTTTTTATCTTGAGCAGATATTTCTATTGTAAATGCTCCACTTGATCTATGTAAACAAATCAAAAGCTATGTTTTTAAGCTTTTTGAATGTCAGTGAAGCTCCTTTAAGTTGAAGTTTCAGGAGGTTTCTTTACTTGTGATCAAGGATTTTGAGAAGGTGTTAGCGTATATAACTAACCTATGAACAAAATGCATGTCTTCCAGATATTTACATCCACTTGCTACATGAACACATATTTTAACAAGATCTGTCATAGACAATTCTGCCCTACTCTGATTCTGTATCTGAAAAAAAAAATAAAAAATAAACTTTGCGAGAAATCAAATTTTGTTTAAGCTCTTGATGTCTTAATTTTTTAGCCTTTATCCTCCAAACCTTGCTTAGAGACTGTGATGTTGAAGTCAAGATACTTGAAATATTTAGTCTGTTCAGACACTATGGATGAGCAGAATAATTTGCTTCCGTTATTTTATAATTTTTTTATAGGATCTTTTTGTAAAATATAACTAACTTATACAACACTAGGTCAAGAAATTTGTTTATTAAGATTGATAAAGTCTAGTTCTTGTGTTATATCAGTTCATATTTGCTTTGTTTCAGATCTCTTATTCATGCCACACTTTTGATAATTATGATAAAGTAAAACAAAAATTCTTGGCGTACTTACTGAGGTAAGCCTACAAGCTCGCATAAAGGAGAGAAGATCGCCACCTTCCATTAATTCTAGAATGATGAATTGTGGGTCATTGTCAAGACAAACTCCTAGTAAACTAAGAATATGTTCATGATGAAAGTTACTCATCAATAAAGCCTCTTTCAGGAACTCCTCTTTCTCCTGGTCCGATGCACTCTTACGTAGTGTCTACAATACAATGATACAGGTAAATCAAAACAGAAATTATAAAACACAGGGATCTGCTTTATGTAAAACTTCATAGCAATGATAATATGAACATTTTGTATATAGCAATAATCATATTAACATTTTAGACTCAAAAAGTATTTTCAATTTTGTAAAAAAAATTCTGATTTATGTACTGACAGACTGACACAGTAACTGTGGAAATCTTAAGTCTCATAAAATATAAAAGTCCAAAGACTTTTGACATTAATTATATGCACTTTATTTACCATCACAAAAATATTACTTTTTTATTCAGTTCTTACAACCTAACAACAAAAGGAACAAATTTCAATAAATTGTAAATATCATACCTTCACAGCACATCTGGTATCCCCTGAACTTTCATTTATGATATTTTTAGCAATGCCTTCAAACACTTCACCGAATGCTCCACTACCGAGGAACTTACACAGTACCAGCTGGTCTCGGCGGAAGTGAGGCAAAGCCGCAATCTCATCATCAGTGGGAATGAGGCTGAAAAACAAAATTACATTTTCCAAATTTTTAGCCTAAAAAAATACAATTCAAACAAAGTACTCTTCAATTATATATAAATGATCTGAAATTTTGTATGGTAAAGACCTACATTAAATGGTTTAGAAATCTAAAAAAAAACCCAAAAAAACTTTCAATCCAATCATGCAAAAAATCCTCTGTGGAGTCCCTTTAATGACTTACCTATGTCCCACCATTTTACAGTCATACAAGCTTTCATATCCTTACTGTGTGACCACACTTTAATTCTGTTTTATTCCAGTTAATCCTTTTTTAACTTATAATGCACAGTACCTAAATCATCACAGGGAAAGTTTGTTAAATAAATTAGGCTAAGATTTAACAAAAACTTGATGGCTGTTGGCTTTCTCAAAATACTACTATGGTCTTTTTAAAATTTCTTAGCCTTAAAGGGAGACACAGCCAAAATTTTCATGTCCTCGTTTTGAATTTTCATTCATTATTCTGTAAATGTTCTCGAAATGAATACACTAGGCAGTCACAGGAACAAAACTTTTCTCCTTATAAAGAATAAAATTTGACCCGAGTGGGTCAGGTTCGAGCGTTAAGATTTCACAATAGTTGTCACTGTGAACTCTGGAAACATTAAAGAACATGTCAAATGAATGACTTAGACTTGTTTCAATCATACAATATCCATAATATCTGTAACTGTAACTTCCATGGTTTGTTCAAGTCACATGACTTGTTTTAAAACTGCTCGAGATTCTGTTGCCATATAAATTTTGTTCAACATATATGGATGTATTGACGCTTCCAATCCAAAATATTTAGAATTTATACAGACTTTAAAAATGTCATTTTAGCGTGATTTGAGTACTTACAATCATTTTAATATTTTTGTCATTAATTTGGCTGAGTATCCCTTTAAATGGGGACATTATGAGTTATGAATGTTGGATCAGCAAAAAAAAATGTTAGTGTAATCACAAAACATACTAATCTACTCACTTCATGGCATAAAGAGTATTATTTTGTTGTATATGAGTCATTGGTAACTCCCTCAATGTGGCAAGTTCAAGGTCAGGTCCACGTGCAACCGCTACAAATTCTTGATTCTTCTTTTTCTTCTTTTCTTCACGTCTTTTACGACACATAGCTGAAACACATTCAGTATCTTTAATTACACTTAATTCATTCAATACAAGTAATACATGTTCCATCAGTATGGAGTCTGGCCTGATTGTTTATACAGTACAACCTCGATCATTCAAATTGCTGGGTACTGAAAATTAACTTCGAATAATCAATGGGTTTGAATAATCGAACATGTATAATATACAAAGAATGGCTTTTCTTAGCACTAGTTTTATAATCTTTAGAGCATTATAATCTCCAAAATATTGGAAGCTCCAAATATAAAATAGAACATAACTATTAGAGGTAAATCATTACTAAAATGTCTTCTTGAGATAATTATTTTAAAATGAGCCTAAGACATGTATATTTAAACAATTTATATACTTTATTGAATTGTTAATTAACAGAAAGCAAAATTTTTCACTCTCCTTTAGTAAGTTTTCTTAATTTTCTATATTAATTGATTTTTTGTTTGTTTGATTTTTAGTCAATGTTAAAGTCATATGGCAACTTCCCAGGCAGTTTAACTGGTAAAAAAAAGACCTTAGGTGCCTTTCTGTGCACTTTTTCAGGCAGACATCAAACATATGCAACTGAGTAGAACTACCAACCTTTCTTTTATAAGCTAGCTGGTATATAAAATGGTATTTGATCGCAACAAATATTTTCTAAAGAAAAAAAGACTGTCGAATAAATATCACATCAATCTGATTTTTTTGTGATCTTAACTTACAATAGCATATAGCAACTGTTGCCATGGCAATAACAACAACAACAAAGGCAACCACTACTGCTACTACAATAATTGTCCTGTCCTCTGACTCCGCCTCCAAAACTGTTCAATAAAAAATGTGCATTCTCAATGTAAATTCTTAATTCATGTAAATTCATGTAAAAACATGTAAAACCTGAATCGATTATGCAAAATGACACAAGCATTAACATTGAAATTTAAGAAGTTGAAGTTGAATACCTTTTGACATATTTTTGTGCATAACATGTTTGCTCAAAATAAAACGTTACTCAACAATTTAAATAAAACAAAGATGAAATCAACTCAATATATTTATTTTGTCATTTTCTTGTTGAAGTTTAACCACATATCCCTGCCGCTTTTGCAACTCCTAAAAAATGATATTACACATTCATATATATATATTTACTTCACATCATGTGCATTATACCAACATAGTGTAAAGACACGCTAATTGTAAGCATTACACTCTAGGCACGCCAATAAAAAAAAAAATTCTTTTTCACTTTAAAGAGTCTTTTTTTTTTTTGGTATGTGATAAATAGAATATTATATTTGTGAAGGTTCATAACTGCCAGTAGCTCACATAATATACAAATGAAATTTTAATCAATTTGTTCAATAAATTCAGTATTAAACTTACACTCATTTAATCGTCCATTTATTTTACATTGCCACAAACTTACTTGGATAAGAGAACATGGTACTATTAAGACTGTATGGGCCCCAACCATTCTTGTTCTTTGCTTTCACACGGAACATGTATGTGTAGCCACGTTGTAGCACATTGTCATCAATAACCCATCGTAGTTCACTTGTGTTGCATGCAACACTCCAGTTGTCTTTGTCAATATACCTAAATCATTTTTAATACAAGTTTATCCCATCACAATGTATAACACAAGTTACCTTTCTCTCTTCTACTACATAATGTGTCGACACAAGTTTACCTTTCACTCTACTACTAAATAATGTGGTAACACAAGTTTACCTTTCTCTCTATTACTACATAATGTGGTAACACAAGTTTACCTTTCTCTCTACTGCTACATAATGTGGTAACACAAGTTTACTATTACTCTGCTACTACATAAAGTGGTAACACAAGTTTACCTTTCTCTCTACTACTACATAATGTGGTAACACAAGTTTACCTTTCACTCTACTACTACATAATGTGGTAACACAAGTTTACCTTTCTCTCTACTACTACAAAATGTGGTAACACAAGTTTATCTTTCTCTCTACTGCTACATAATGTGGTAACACAAGTTTACTATTACTCTGCTACTACATAAAGTGGTAACACAAGTTTACCTTTCTCTCTACTACTACATAATGTGGTAACACAAGTTTACCTTTCACTCTACTACTACAAAATGTGGTAACACAAGTTTATCTTTCTCTCTACTGCTACATAATGTGGTAACACAAGTTTACTATTACTCTGCTACTACATAAAGTGGTAACACAAGTTTACCTTTCTCTCTACTACATGTTCTACATAATGTGGTAACACAAGTTTATCTTTCTCTCTACTACTACATAATGTGGCTACACAAGTTTACCTTTCACTCTACTACTACATAATGTGGTAACACAAGTTTACCTTTCTCTCTACTACTAAATAATGTGGTAACACAAGTTTACTTTTCTCTCTACTACTACATAAAGTGGTAACACAAGTTTACCTTTCTCTCTACTACTACATAATGTCGTGGTAACACAAGTTCATCTTTAAATGATGTTTTACACAAATGTCTATACAACTAGACTATTCAAGTTGACGTCTGATCAATCACTTTATATAATATTGTTCTCTGTAAAACATACTATAAAGGTAAATAATTCTTACTTGTATTGAAGAAGATAGTGCATGATTGTCTCCCCATTATCTTCTGGATGAGGCCAGCTCACTTCAAATTCTCCTTTAAATTCCTGGACCTCAGGAGAAGCTGGGGAGTCTGGGATACCAGCTGAAATATCAGATAATATTGTCATGATAAATGTATAAAGGTTAAATTCATTTGACAGTTTTTTATGATTTTATGTATATAATAACATTGATTGATTGATTTTGATTTTCTTTGGACCGGGCGGTCAAGGATAACCTACGAAAGTGCAAGCACTTATTTCCAGTAGGGTCCTTACCTCAGCAGACTCTAGAGACAGCTATGAGATACAAGGGAATCCGGGAACCAGTCCCTAGCTCTTATTGAATAGATTCCTTGGTTCTTTTACATGCCCAGTGTATAGCACTGATACATGCGAGGATTACCTGGATTTCTTACCAGTACACCTCTAGTTAGGTGGGAAACACTGAAAGTGTTTCTGAAAAATCCCAAGGGTGTTACCCAGGATCGAACCCGGAACCTCAGGCCTGACAGTCAGTGGTCTAACCAACTGAGCTATTGCGCCACCTTCTCCAGAAACTGTACATTAACAAAACAATTACAGTGTTAATCATATGAGAAAAGTATAGTCAGTAGATAAATCCTATAACTAAACAATGTCAGTTGTTTATTGACCTCGGCGACCTGGATTTGATTTCTGGACAGTGCAGGTCACTTTCGTCATTCACACTATACCTCTGCTCTGGCATGCACAAAATTTATCAGTTCCTTGCTAAAGTGAAAGCACTGGTTAACTCCTTGACATCTTGCCAAGAACAATGCTATGTTCTGGTGAATTAAATTATCTTACTGCTGTGATCTGTAGTGAAAACTTAACCAACATCACCACAATGACACAGCTTTATTTATTGACCTTAAAACATTATTTTCTGATACATTTCACTTACTTAAAGTCCTGAACACATATTTAAGATCAGAATCTTCTTTTGGCCAATGGTAAACTTCGTAAACTGAGTAAGACTTATATATGATGCTGAGCCGGAATGAGTATTCTGTGTCCGGTTTGAGATCGGCGAAAGTCTCGTTATACATGGTGTTGTTAAAAGTTCGTATTGGAAGGTCAATCATCTCAAACTTCAAAAGTTTCTTGTCTTTTACCTAGAACAATCCAGAATATAGCTTGATTACAAAAAATAATTGTATGACACAAAAATAGACGCCAATGCGTTTTTTTGTACTTGGCCACCTTCTCCAGAAAATGTACATCTACATGAAAAACAAAAGATATGTCTGCAGAAGAGAATATAAAAATTACAAATAATGATGCATGTTCATAAATTGTACATAACCTCTTCAAAAATACTTATTTTAAGAAACTTTTTAAGAAAATTTAATACAGCTGATAAAAAAATTAATATTCAAATATAAATCAAACTTTCTAAAAAAAAGACATAACCTTACCTCTGCATAGTAAATAGAAACAACCCGAGTACTATCGTCACTAGGTGACGTCCAGGCCAACTGTATAGAAGTATTGGTGACCTCTAAACACTCAAGGTCATTAGGTGCTTGATAGGTTGAGCAAATGACTGGTACACTTTCTGTTATAAAGTTACCTTCTGTCTGGTTACTTATTACCTGCAATAAAAATTTACAGCATTTAATTCCTTTAAACACCTTAAAAAAACAAACTACTCACCTTCACCTCACATAATTTGTGTAATAGAACTTTCCCAGCAGCAACTTTCCATTTAACAACAAGAACTCCTAATGAATTAGTAAACGTAAGGTAAATACTGTAATTAACCAAAGCCATTTTTGACTTCTTTCTGCAGTTTTCATAATACATGTACATATTTCTTATTCATTTTTTTGTCATACAAGGGTATGTTTTCCACTTTGATGTCATTACTAGATGAAATAATAATATAGCAGCTTACATACATGCTCAATAGGGTCTGTAATTCATTTAAGAGATTTAAATACATTTCTTTAGTCACTAACAGTAGAGCCTGGTCAGACAGCAGAGGTGTGTAGGCTGACCTGGCTCTATCCTGGTGGTAAGGCTAATCACTTCTGGTTCCAGCAGTGTGAGGGGCTAAAAATTAATCCATCATATAAATTCAGTGGACAAGAGTTAAAAATAAATCACACAAACAAATAAATTAAAATCACTTTAAATTGATTAAGTATCTACCTGTATAGAATAAGTTTGCTCAGCTGAAAGCTTCTCTAAATCCACCTCAAACAGCCTATTATTGAATGGATTGATTGAGTCAAATGTAATAGCATCTGTCATTGTTGTGTGAAGTATACCATCTTCTAATTGTGTTGACCATTTCACAAAGTAAACAATTTTATCTACGGGACCATTAGGTTGTTCTGGAGGTGGCCACCAAACTTTTATACGATCTGGACTCTGTGCCTGTGCTGTTATGTTCTCAACTGGACTTGGTACTTAACAGAGAAAAATATGTAGCATTTTAAACATGTGTCACTTAAAACTATTAAAGATAAAAATTGCATAAAAATCAATGCAAAACTAGCATCCAGCAATTACATAAAAAAGAAGAATTAAGAGCTGAATCCTCACCTAGATCATTTCAAAATTTGTAAGTCTGATATCAGATGAAGCAACAAATCAAGTAATGCCTTTACATTGAACAATGCGTTTGTATTAAATAAAGTTTGACAACCAAATTTTTCTGGAATCTAAATTTTTTATATATCCTCAGACATAAACAGGTATTAGAGCATTGGTCTAGTGGTCACACAAAAAGACCATTATCAATATATTACTGTGACTAGTTAGACTGGCATCAGTTAAATAGAATGCATATGCAACATATTTTCAGTGAAGCAGCAATATTAAATTAGGCATTGTCATCACTCTGTCACCTACATGTCCTCACTTTCTCATCTACATGTACTCACTCTGTCACCTAAATGTCCTCACTCTCTCATCTACATGTCCTCACTATGTCACCTACATGTCCTCACTCTCTCATCTACATGTCCTCACTATGTCACCTACATGTCCTCACTTTCTCATCTATATGTACTCACTCTGTCACCTAAATGTCGTCACTCTGTCACCTACATGTCCTCACTCTCTCATCTACATGTCCTCACTATGTCACCTACATGTCCTCACTTTCTCATCTATATGTACTCACTCTGTCACCTACATGTCCTCACTCTGTCACCTACATGTCCTCACTCTCTCATCTACATGTCCTCACTCTGTCACCTAAATGTCCTCACTATGTCACCTACATGTCCTCACTCTCTCATCTACATGTCCTCACTATGTCACCTACATGTCCTCACTATGTCAGCTCCATGAACTCACTATGTCCCCTTCATTTACTCACTATGTCACCCACATGTCCTCACTACATTACCTACATGTCCTCACTCTATCACCTTCATGTCCTCACTATGTCACCTACATGTCCTCACTCTATCACTTTCATGTCCTAACTATGTCACCTACATGAACTCGCTCTGGCACCTACCTATACACATATTTCACCTACCATGTACTCACTCTGGCACCTACATGTGCTCACTCTGTCACCTACATGTCCTCACTCTGTCACCTACATGTCCTCACTCTCTCATCTACATGTCCTCACTATGTCACCTACATGTCCTCACTTTCTCATCTATATGTACTCACTCTGTCACCTAAATGTCCTCACTCTGTCACCTACATGTCCTCACTCTGTCACCTACATGTCCTCACTCTCTCATCTACATGTCCTCACTATGTCACCTACATGTCCTCACTTTCTCATCTATATGTACTCACTCTGTCACCTTCATGTCCTCACTATGTCACCTACATGTCCTCACTTTCTCATCTACATGTCCTCACTCTGTCACCTTCATGTCCTCACTATGTCACCTACATGTCCTCACTCTGTCACCTACATGTCCTCACTATGTCACCTACATGTCCTCACTTTCTCATCTATATGTACTCACTCTGTCACCTAAATGTCCTCACTCTGTCACCTAAATGTCCTCACTCTGTCACCTACATATCCTCACTTTCTCATCTACATGTACTCATTCTGTCACCTAAATGTCCTCACTCTGTCACCTACATATCCTCACTATGTCACCCACATGAACTCACTCTATCACCTACATGAACTGGCTCTGGCACCTACATGTTCTCACTATGTCACAAACATGTCCTCACTATGTCACCTACATGAACTTACACTGTCACCTAAATGTCCTCACTCTATCACCAACATGTCCTCACTCTGTCACCTACACACCTCATTATGTCACCTACATGTTTTTATCTTTAATATTGCTGACACAGATGCTTCAGTCTAACAAATAAATAATATCCATGAATCTGATAACAATTATTTATTTCAATTTTATCCATCATTGGTTATCTTTCTTTTATATATTCTCAACTATATAGGGGGATATGAAGAAGAATAATACCTCCAGGTTTGGTTCTGACTTCTGTTGCATTCCCTAATGAATTGATAGTATATTTTGAGTAATAATTACTAACTGCTCCCTGAATGATGTAGTACGTATATGGTTCTAGCTGATCTAATGACAGCTCCCTTGAGTATCCAGACTGAAAACATTTTATGAAATTCAATTAAAAGTTAGCAAAATAACTACCACAGTATTCTTAACAAAATTAAACAATATAGTCATCAACAGTAGAATCTGTAAGTTATTAAACCTTCTTATGTATGGGTCAACATTTTTATTCATCAGGCATTGATGACAAATTCTGCTTATAAAAAAGCACAGGTTTGTATACATGGTGTTTGCATCATCACCAACTGTTTTTTACCTTATCTGGCATCAACAAAGCTTAAAATGCCCCAAATTTAAACTATTCATATCACTGTGTGTAACTGTTAATACCTTTGACTGGCAGACACTTTTATCTTCTTGGCAATCATCGTTTGGTTTCATATCATCAAGTTGCCTGTAGTACACTGTGTATCTGACAGCTGGGTGACTGATGTTAGTACATTTGACCGGCCAGGTTGTTTCACTCAGATTGACCTTGATACTTGTATTTGTATACATCACAATACCCACTTCCCCTTTGTATGGGTTAGTATCCAAACACTCAGATCCTGGGAAAAATATGACATCAAACTAATTAATATACCTACTTCTATAAATAGTATAACAAAAATTGGTTAAGATTTCAACTTACTATGAAGCTATGAGACCATGTATGAGTTTGCTGCCTTAAGCCTAAAAGCCAACCAAATGAACACAAAGACTTGCAACAAAAGGTCCTATATGACTGGTCTTTGTATCAATTAAAGTAAAGCAACACTGTATCTGAGCTTTAATAAGCCTCTCTATAAACAGGATTTGTGATAAGTGTATCTTACAAAATTTAAAGTCTCAGTTGAGGTTAACAATAAATAATGTTTGAGGAACGGCGAATGGATGGATAGTCTCAATTCAGCAGTATTACAGGTCTGTTCTATCTAGTAGATTAAATTCATGCCTACCTGGTAAGGGATGCAGATGAGCACCGTATGCCTGGATATCTGTCACATGTGGTAGTGCCGTCTGCTGTAGGTTCCCAGTAGCTTTATCCATGACATACAATATTTGACTTGATGTGTGATACCAATAAATATACACATGGTCTACAGTCATTATATCAGCTGGTAATCCTAACAAACAAATATAAATATTCTTTGTTTATACAGAATTTATTTATAGTTTGATTGTGTAGGAAGATTTAAGCTTTTAGACACACTCTCCAATATGTTCCTGAAACCAACCTGTACTAAGCATGATTGTACAGTTTCTTGTTCAAGGAATCAATGGCTTACCCCTAACAGGGTCTGAACCCACGCGGAGAGCAATCTTTAGATTACTAATCTGGTGTGTTAACCACTCGGCCATGCCGCCAATCCCATAAATAAATATACTTGTAACAACTATTTGAAATTTCATACTTAAATAAATCAGCAAAGATTAGGCCAAAGTTTTTTCAATTTGCAAAATCTGACTATATTTAAATCATACTGCAGAACAGGTTAAGGCAAATGACAACCTTTGAAAAAAACATGTCAATACTAAACATCTATTAAATAGCTAAACTGAACAAAACCTATCATAATTATGTAACCAGTATAGAATGAGTCAAGCCTACACGTCAGTACAGTCTAACCAAACATTTACCAGTTCTGTTAAAGGTACATTGTACTTTGAAACTGAAACTTTTTATTTAACAAAAGTCAATTTCAAAGGTTTGTTGATGACATGTAGCAAGGTTAACATTTAAAGAAAAAAGTTGTGAACTGTAATAAACATTTGAATACCTTACCTTTTCTATCAGAAGGTGTAGTAGTGAGAAACGTCCTACAGGTACAAGCTTCCATATCTGATGCCATTAGACTCATACTTGTTATATCCACGTATAAAATCTCAGTATGACCGTCTGCTGAGAGATCCACAGTTACAGCAGACGCCAGCCTCTGCTTGGCTGGACAGTTGCAAGCATTATCAACATTACGTTTGTGACGCGGATGGTTAAAAAATTCATGCAAGTTGCTTGGATCATTTGTTGTTGTCCTTATAATTTTCCATGAACTTTCCCCTGCATTATATTCTGTCCATAGTAATGAGCTAGAAGTTTAAAAATAACAAGAGATTTAGTCATTTTAATTAATGTGGTTAAACAAACTTATGTGATTATCCAGTATATAAGCAGATAAAATGTGTGTGACCCTTAGCCACAACAATGCCAGTCCATTTCAAAAATTTATCAGTGCTAAGGATTTGAACAGTAAGAAGCATGTGATATGCATTCAATCATGAACAGAAATTAAAAAATTTAAAACATGTAGCCAAACTTATAGAGCATCAAAGCATGAGGCTATCTGATTTGTTAGAGGGGAGTGTAGCCTCCTTGTATAAATCAGATTGCCAAGTGTTTTGATGTTCTTTCTCTTTTGTATCATAGGCGAAAATAAGAACCTGTTCCCTGTCGTCATAATATGAAACCCCAGAATAGATGTACCAATGTAAGAGCATCTAAACATGATTTTTCTATCATTATCCTTTTCCTTGATGTCAAAATAAGTAAACCCCAGAAAAATGTAGCCAATCAACAAGCATGCTCTATGTTTATATGTTTATCCCCGACAGACAGTGCGGGTTACTAATAAATGCACTCCATTTAGCGCACTGTTCGGTTTAATTCAAACACATTTTCAATGAGTTTGATCTCTAAAATATGATACAAGTGTTAAAATTACTAGGAACTTTAATATCTCAGACAGGCACGTTTCTAACCTGGTGTAAGGATCCACTGCAATATCTCCTACTTTAGACTTTCTCTCAATAAGTCTGTACTGTTTTCCTTCATCAAGGTTGTAACTAATGACAGCAGCAGACGACATGTTACTGTCGACAGCATACACAGTCCGGCTCACCCAATCCAGACACATCTTATGATCACCACCATCTAGATGCAACAGCTAGGGCAAAAATAGAAATAAACTTTTCTTAAAAATATATACAATAAAGTTTTTATAAACATATCCAATATAATGAAAGTAATAAACGAAACACCCCACCTGTATGTAGTTTTCTATAATTAATATTTCTATAATATAATAATTTCTATAATTATCTCGTAAATATTTATCACCTTGACATTGCATTTTGGCCTCGTCATAAATTTGTAATCTTTCATTCTGACATCAAGAATTCTTGATATTCAAATGCTGGAATTAACCTGTTTGTTTGCTAGAGACAAATGACTCTACTCATGCAGTCAGTATTTATTTTAAAATCATCCCTAAAAATGATAATGGTTTCATCCAGATTGAAGCATGGAGAAGTCCATTTAAGATATTTAGTGGGATAGCGTTCAAACACCTACAGTTAAAAGTTAGATCAGACAGCACAGATAAGCACATCAATGTTGGCTCTATACTGGATATCATTTATTATTGTTACTAGCACTCAACCTAGAGATCATAGGTTTGAGTCTTACTATAGTGGCAACCATGTTTCCTTATAAGATACCAGTTCTGGTTAGTTCCAGAAAGCTCCAGAACACTGACTTAACAGTGGTTCAGTAAAGCTGAAAGCCTTCTTCACAGCTGAACTTAAGTAAATAATTTTTAGACTAAAACTTTAATCCTCCTGAATTAATACCTTTTTGCCGGTAACTGGCGGAAATTGTTCCAGATATTTATCTCTGGTTATCCAATAATATTTGTCATCTTGGGACAGGTAACTAAGGGCAACAACAGACTTTCTGGCCATGATAACAGATGTATTCTGTACATTATCCGCCTCTGCCATGCGTACATCATCTTTAGTAGCAATCAAAACTTTTGGTACAGGATTCACAGCTGCAATACATTAAATAAAAGTTTATGACAAAATTCACTAATGTTTGTACAACCATGCATACACGGTTATGAGACTCTAAGCAATTTTCTATACATGAAACAAAAATATATTTTTCAAAAACAACAACATTTTAAACAGGAAATAGAGAAAAGGTGTTGAAAATCATACTTAAATGTAATAGGTATTATGTGTTGTATTAAATCTCTGGACTTTCTAAGTCTTATGAGTTCTATAAATATTTATATTTTACAATTTTTACATGAATAGGTAATTTATTCTACCCCACAAAACTTTGTAGAAAATAAATTATGTGCAATAGAAAGATTGTATAAAACTTTACCGTCTGCTGTGGCACTGACAGTTTGAGATTTAGGTCCACATCCTGCCGGAGTACAGCATTCAACCTAATCAACGAAAAACAAAATGTATAATCTAACTCTCTATTACTGACGCATCTCTGATTACAACATTCACTTGTTATAAATATTTTCAAATGTGCTATCATTTTTTTACACTCAATGCAGACACAGGGAAAAAATCAAGTATATTGATAATACAGATTTCCAAGCCATAAAAAATGAACCAATCAAACGGTATTAACAGAATAGCCATCAATTCTGAAAAATTTGTTCCAATTCATACTATTAGAACTGGATTAAACCAAAGCCATGTCTTTGGAACTCAACAACTTTTACTGTTTGATACTATTTTCTTTTTAATATACAATTAAAGACACCTTAAATGAATGTGATAAAAACTACACTTAAAGAGATGTTGATAAAAAGCTTGGTATAAACTGTATCAATGAACAGTGACTGTCAAACTTCTATCAATTTTATCTGTCAAACTGTTGTACACAGAACAATTCTTTATTAAACTTACTTGAAAGAAGTATGTAACATTTCCCTTCAGATCGTCAAGAATAAAATGCCTCGCAGATTGTGGTAAAGGAGTCGTACTTTTCATTGACGGTTTATCACTCTGCCAGTACCAGACAATCTGTTTACTTAACACGCCATTTAACTGCGCAGGTTCTGACCATCGAAAATCAGCAGCTAAGGTGAGTTTCGACAGAGCTGCATTCTTCCTTTGTGTTACATATACCTTAGGTGATATTGGCTCACTTGGTGCTACAAAAATAAAGTTTAACATTTTGAGTAGGAATATACATACCAACTACAATATGAATAATAAATATCTGACGAGACAGTTTCTAGCAGCTGAAAAACTTAATCTTCCTAGTTTCTCAATGTATATTGTTCTAACTATACTAATGTAAATGTAAAATGTTTTAAATATATCATCTTAATCAAATGATAATATCAAATGTTTGGAATACGTTTTGTTCCATACAAAGATTTATATTTGGCAAAAAAATTATATTAAATTTTCAAAAATTGCTTCAATTCTTAATTCTCAACTACAATAAAAAAAATAAAAAAATTTTGACATTGATTTGATAATTACTAAATTTTTCCTCTAAATTGAATTAAATGCAACAATTCGCAATCAAAGTCCAAATAATTACTTTATCTAATGTCATTTAACAAAATACCTGGTTAAAAAAAAAATGTCATAAATAAATATTTTTAGCCAGTATTTTTTTTTTTTATTCAAAATGGGAAAACTTACCAGCCATAGGTGATTTAACAGTTGTGACAGTTTGTGGACCTGAGCCCCAGTATGTGTGAGCTTGTACTGATATAGATATTGGTGTGTAGGGAGCTAGACCTTGAACTGTGAACCATGGGTGAGATACAACCTGAAATTATAATATACTGTAAATTTACTTAATTTCGTGGGCAGGAAATTTTGTGGTTTTGTCACAATGAATATTTTCATGGGTTTTTAAATTCATGGATTGTTTCTTTCTCCAAAAGGTAAAATGTAAATAATGAGATGCAAAATAATCTTACAGCAGGCAAAATAAAATTATTTGTTGAATCTTAAAATGCGTGGATTGACCTATCCACGAAAACCACAAAAATAAGTTCCCCACAAATAATAATGATTTTGCAGTAAACAATCAATTGTGTGTATCTTATAAAAGTTTCATACCAATTACATCTAATTTACACTGGTACAGTACATGTGGTTTAACCCTTAGCCCGCTGGTGCGGACTGACCCTACACATGCAACCAGTGCAGACCATCATCAGCTGGCACTTCCATGCATTCTGATCATGGTCTGCACTGTTTGCTATTCAGTACGTTTTTATCTCGATATTTTCCCTCAATATTGATGAATGGTTTTGTCTAGGTTGAAAGATCCATTGAGATATTAAGTGTAGTAAAGATTTAAGACTGTCATAAATCAAAATCGTTTCTGATGAAGACGTATGAAAAGGGTATAAAGTTATATCTGATGAAATATTTTTATAGAATTTAAAAACAGGAAAATTATTATATTTCCATAATCTTATGGTTGGTTCTTGAAAGATTTGTAATAAAGAATAGTTCTTTTTTTAACACACATGAATATTGTATATAACGGCATAAAACATTCCAGAACAAAATATTTTCCTGCAGTTTTAAGCAGGGTTTTATCCATTTAGCAATGATTTTGTGCATGCTTCATTCGCTTATAAGGAAAACTACCAACATATTTCTTTCATATAAACATATTGGAGTTATTCTTTATGAAAACTAAAACAAAATTTTTGAACACTGCTGATAGCATAGATATAGCTTCATACTAGTTCAAGTTGAAACTAGTAGAATCTGTTTCCTTTTATTTTTTACATTAATAATATCTCTAACGTGAAAAATATATTTTCAAAGATAAAAATAACAGATCAGTAGTCTCCAGTTTAGTGACTGACGAGTTTTAACAGATAAATTATCAATAGGTAGGAAATAATTAAGTGAATTGTACTTACTTGATCATTGAATATATATATTTTACACATACCTGTGTCGCTTTTGCGACTCAAAAAAATGATATTGCATGGCCGTGCATATATTTTGATGTAATGTCATTTGCGTTATACAAACAAGGTGTAAAGACATGCTAAATCTGAGCCTTATACTGTAGGCCCGTCAACAAAAAATGACCCTTTTTCACTTTAAACGGTCTCTATTTTTGATATGTGATAAACAGAATATTAAATTTGTGTAAGTTCATTACTGAATTTATTGAACTCCTTGATTAAAGTAATATTATGCTTGCCAGAGGCTTGCATAATATAATTCTATTGATCTCGTTCAATAAATTTAGTGTAAGTTCACAATAAATTTAGTATTGAACTTACACTCATTCAATATTGTCTATATGATTATCAGAAATAATTACAAAAGATTAACTTGTGTACTTAAAGTTCACAATAAAATATCTACTGTACCTCTTTTATATCTGGTATGCCTTTAGCTTTCACTGAAAGTTTGTAAGTCACATGACCATGGTTGACCTCATTAGATGGTTGCCAGGTAACGTTGAACTTCGATGCTAGACCAATACAAGTAATAGAATCTGCTCTTATAGCAGACGGTATTACAATTATGGAAGACGAGTCAAGGCTTTCTAAAACACAAACAAACAAAAATGCGAATATATGAAAAATGTTTTGTTTTCACCTAAACACAACTGATATTTTTGTACATACAATCATCCCTAATAAAATATATATTTTCATCATATTTTGAGTACACTCTCAAGAAACTCAATGAGCTTGCTGTCACCGGTCGTCTACTTGTCACATATTTTTTTAATAAGTTTACTTTGACTAGATCTACCGTAGTTTGCCATGTAATGTACAGGTTTTTTTAAGATATTAAAAGAATTTTTCATTTTTTTCTTTTTGGGATTCGGTTATTATGTCACACCAACACTGTAAAGGTCATATGGAGACATTCCAGTTTTACTGGTGGGGGAAGATTTCAGATGCCTCTTTGGCATTATTTCAGGCATGAACAGGCATCTGACTAGAACCACTGATGTTCTGTAAGCTAGATGGATAACTTCCTTACATGAAAGAATCCAAAGTCCTTGGTGGTATTCAAACTCAAAGCTGTTAGGGGAAAGTATTTTTAAGTCAACAACCATAACCACTTGGCCACAGATGCCAAAACTATCAATTTCTTTGATATATAAATAAAAAACTGCAAAATAGGGCAGAAATGAGAAATTGTGATCAACAAACATATTAGACTACACATACCTGGGTATCTATGCAAAGACTTGTGTTTTAGAGTGAACACTGATACAGGGGCATTAATAGCTGAGATACTGGCTGTGAAGTTACCCTGGGAGTCACCTACTCTCAATGACAACTGCTCATCCACCCACATCAAATGATGAGAGTAATATTGTATGGCAGAAAACCTGAATTTTAAGATGTCAAATTTTTTGCAAATTGTGTTTATAAATTAAAAATCATTTATTATATAATATGACGTAATTTACAGTTGAAAGAAAAATGCAAAATTTCACAGTCACATCAAAAGCTTTCAACATAAGCAACTTAACAATAAGTTTTATATACTAGTATTCTGTTTCATTGTCGGTAAAAACTATATGAACATTTATATTATGTTTTGTTTCATTGTCTGTAAAATCTATGAGAACATTTATATTATCTCAAAATGTCAACCTCATTATTCCAATTTAAAACGCACAACAATTTATGAGAAAATATTTATCCTGCATTCACTAGAGATAAACTCTCACATTACTACATCTTCTCTCACACCCTTTTTACTCACCTTTCAATGTCCTGTAATTTCCCAACAATTGATACAGATTTGATGAGATCATCATAGTTACCATGGTTACTGTAAAGGTCAGCCATGTAAAGAGACTGGTCCTCAAACCCTTTCACATACCACATAAGCTTCTGGTGATCATGATCAATAGTTAGACTGATCACCTGTCTTCCTGAGAATGGTTGAAGTGAGAAGTATTCCAAATGATCATTGCCATTTAAAAATGTGGTTTCCACACTGACCTCAGTGACCCAGTAAAGACGACCTTTGACACTGTCCAAGGTCATATCTCTTGCTAATGCCTGGTAAACAAATTCTTCAGTATCACCATAAATGTCCGCCCTCCTGATTTGAGACTGTAAAATGATAATTAAACAAGTTACATAATGTTTTGTTCAAAGTTCACTTCCATTACATCCATAAATTAAGGGTTTAAAGTCAATTTTATTCTTACTTTAATGTTTTCTTTTATCAGATGATTACATCTTACTATTTTCAGGATATCAAAATAGATTTTATTATCTATAGTTGTGTGCATTCATGAGAAGGAGTGACTCTATCTATAAATGTTAGGTTTAATCAGCTGATTTACATTGTTTTTGTAATGAACATGCATTTATTTCACCAGGAAAGTATTTAGTTTATCTAACACAAAACTTAGTTTAAGACATTCTCTTAATAAGCTTTATAGAAAGGAAGATCAACTTATTTGAACCAATTTTAAGTCTGTTTCCTGGGAAACTAACTAGTACTGGACATATAATACGAGAAAATATAGCTAAGATTCCAGTAAGACTCAAACTCATTATTCATTAACAAGGCAGACACCTTAACCACTAAGCCCTCACTATCCTATCATAGTACTTACATCTCCATTCCTTAGTACAGACCAGTATAACCTTTGACCTAGCCAATCAAAGGCCACACATGTAGCATCTTGTATAAAGTCCAGTTGCTTCTGTTCATCCTCGTCACCAAGGTAAACAAACATATCCTTGTCATTGGTCGTCCAAAACAACTTGTCCTCATGCCATGCTAAATCTATAGAAGATAAATTATTCAATTACTATAAACAGCTGTCAGTAATACAGTGTGCTTTAATAACTATTCTCGGTGCTCGACGGTAAGAAAAGTGGCGTAAGTCTGTAGAAAGGTAACTTAGAGTTATATGTCCTGTGCCCATTATGTTAGATAATCACAGAGATCAAGTGTATAAAGTTTCAACCCATTCCTCTCTGTTGTTTTGAAAGTATTAATTTGAATGCAAAAACTTTACCAAAGTGTGACACTGACGCAGATGTCGTGAATGAGTACAATAGCTCTTTCTATTCTTCATACCGAGTGTTTGATGTGAAAGGGTGGTAACTCATATGAAATCAAGAAGGAGTTAAGACCCTTTCACACCAAGCTGTTGAAATAATCAAGCTAACAATTCAATCACTACAACTGATTTTTTTTTTCATTATTAAGCAAAACGTAAAATATGTAGCATGTTACAATCAAAATTTAATAAATTAATTAATATGATTACAAATTTATTATTAAATACATGTACTAGAGATATAGGGATTAAGACCTTGCAAACTTGCAGAATCTAATTATGAAGACTATACAGTATCACATCAGTTTTTCAGATGAAAGTTTCTAAGAGCCTTCTGGCAGTTGATGACAATATTTACAGGTCTAAGACACCAGTATACTGCCAGGCCAACCTTAATCTCGATATGCAACCTCGTCAAATTCTAAATTGTAGCCTTTTCAATCTTAGAATTTAATATGAAAATCACTTTTATTCACAAATACTGTAACACTTTTACTATGCAAAATTAACGTTTTGGAAAATCGAATCTGCCATAGCAAAAGTAGGACTCAAACCGTATTACTTAATAACACATCTGAGTACTAAAAATCATTAGAAATCTATCAACTGTTTCAGGAGTAATTATACAGAAACTATTGAATCAGATCCAACTCAAACCTCGCACCTATATACATGTGACCCCAAACCCAAACATTGTTGACATATTGTCATGGAGGAATATAATTGAGCCGCATCATGACAAAACCAACGTCTGCGCAGTCTGATCAGGATCCATGCTGTTCGCTATCAGTTTCTCTACTTGTAATAGGGTTTGTATGCTAACATCATGGATCCTGATCAGACTGCGTGGATGCGCAGGCTGGTCTGGATTCATGCTGGTCGCAAACCCATTACGTTGGTTTTGTCGTGACGCGGCTCAATTATTAATTTTACTAATCATTGTTACCTCACAGGAACTTGAAATTCTATCAAATAACCAATATTAATTATAATATCCAAATATACCCCCTATATACTTTTTATAGTATATAGGGGGTATATTTTGCATATTATCGTTAATAGTGATAGAATTTCAAGTGCCTGTGGTTACCTGTCACACCAGGGTATATCGGTGATGTTTGAAACAGTACATTGATCACCTCACCATCTAGTCCCACTTCTTTTATCTCCCATGTCTTAAAGTGGTGTTGATGCTGTACAGCAACCACAAGACTTGCTGTGTCAAACTCTAAAATCATGAAATAATCAAATGTACGAAATATAGAGAAAAATGGAAATCCTAAAGAATGCCCAGAACTTTTGTGACTTATGTTACAAACTTTTTATGTTAAATAATTTTTTTTTTTAATTTTTACATGATAAAAAACTATTTCACATTACCATTAGAAATTCATGGATATAATAACTCCCTGAGTGCGAGCTGCTATATAGCAGGCCTTAAATGCCATGCAGTCTGACTTGAATCTTTAATGATCAATTTTAGTGTTTTGATATTGGAATCCCTTAACGAAAACAATACAGATAAAAATGAAAAAGCAAGACAATTCCCAAACCACAAATCTAGCAGATTAAATAGAACACTATCCAGCCTATTTAGTGAACTAGGTTATAACTTGATTGTTATACAAAACTAATGATGAAAACTGAATAAATCTTGACTTGTATGATAACACTTGTATCAGATAACACTTGTATGATAACACATGTATGTTAACAATTGTATGGTAACACTTGTATGATAACACTTTTAAGGTAACACTTGCATGATAACACTTGTATGATAAAACTTTTATGGTAATACTTGTATGATAACACATGTATGATAACACATGTATGATTACACTTGTATGATATTCGCATCATTAACAAGACAATATATAATGTTATATACCAGCTTTTAGAGTTCTGCCATGGAATACAGTTGACCAAGGGCCAGCCCCTGAGCTAGATTTGGCCCGAACCTTGACCTGGAATATTGTATCAGGTTCAAGATTTGAAACAACAAATTTCTTTTTCTGTGAGGTTTCTTGTATCTCATTTTTGGAACCGTCATCTTGAAGGATACTGACATCATAAAGCCACTGACTGTATGCACCTTCCCCTATAAAATAACAATAACACATTTCCCATGCTCGATACCATAATTTTCAAATATGCTATTGACACATTATCAACAGTTATGTTGTGTTTATAAGCAATCCATCGAAATAAAAAATCGGCTTAAGCTGGTGTTCTGGGGTGTGAGAGATATTGCCCATTAACTATCTCTAAAGAACAGACTTAATAAAACCGAGTCTGCAGTTGTCAATGGCAACTATTTGCTTTGATTTCATTGCTCTCAAGGGATCTCCCTTTTTCTACCGTTCTTTTATTCTTTTCTGAATAATCATAAATATAGTCACCAGATACTAGTACTTACTTTATTATATATTTTGATCGTGAAATTTGTAAAAGTATAATAAGGGTTGTTCCTAATTCAAAGCAGACACACTATGCAAACAAAGTCAGCAGAAAAAGTCATTATAATGCACTATATAGTATAGACAGTTGAAAGAGTTATATTACCTTGGAAGATGAGTTTTTCAGGGGCTGTCCACTCAACAATAGCTTTGTAAGCTGTAAACAAAACCTGCACATCTCCTGGTGCGTTCAGGGGAACTAGAATATATAAATGTTAAAAATATTTGTTTAAAGTTAACTAATAAAATGAGATAAACATTTTCATTTTATTATGATTTTTACTTTATTTTATTTATTTTTCTGTTAAATTTTACATTAATTTAAATGTATAAATGTTTTATGTAATAATTAGATTGTTAAATAACATATCTGCTAATACACATCAGCCTTATTAGATATTTATTACGGTAGAATGGGAAAAAATATGTACTTTGTTATGACATAGGCAAATCTAAAGCAACAATTACTAAACATATGGAGCTCTGTGGCATAGAAAACTTTTTTTATTTGGGATGAATTATAAGACCTATAAAATTTATATAAATATTGTTCCTATATTTGAAGGAGATCAGGAAATATCTTCCAAAATGTTTTCATTACATAACAGACAACTAACACAGATGTAAAAGAAAATAAATCATACCTGGCACCGGTTGTGAGTTAGGGTAGTACAGATTAAATCCCGTGAAATGTTTCTCCCAGAATGCCAGAGAATGATGGTAATAAGTCCGGTTTCCTAAATCAAACGCTTCGCTGAATACTTTACTGCCATTGGTCCAGAAAAACTTCTCGTCATAGTATACGATACTTTCAGTTTTCAGGAAGTGTGGACGAGCGACGGAACCTTGCCTCATATCAGTGACACCAGTACCATCCAGGTACGCTGACATGACAGTATTGTGAGTGTTGTTTGGGTAAAAGAGGAGGAGATTTTCGTAATCTATGAAGAATGTCTGAAGCTCAACCGGAATGACAAGTGTCGGGTCAGGTTCACTTCTTTGTGAGAAGTCAATTAACGGAACAGAGTATAATCCGGCTTTGTTTGATAGTGTGTAGTAAAGATACCTGAAAATGTAATATAAAGGTCTTTCAATGATATGATGATCATTATAAAAAAAAATAAACTATTGACACTTGTACTTCTGGAAGCAAAAGTGATTAGTATTTCCCATCAGTATAGAGCAAGACCGGCCTATGCACCTGTGCAGACCCACCAAGCTCTATATTGTTGGCTGACTAAATGTTCATCTTTATATCACCAAAATTAATAATAGTTCTGAAAAAATGAAGCTGGAAAATTCAGAAGATTAAGAATTAAAGCATTTTAAATTTCTGCATCAAAATCAGACAGGAATTAAAAGTTCTGTACTTTTAGAAAAATAGAAATACTTGAATGTTTTTTTCCCTATATTAAACACCAAGGAAGTTTAAACAGCTATAAATTTTTCAGCCAATAATGAAAATGCAATCAACATGATTTTAATCTTAATTTAATCAACACGAAGTTGTCAATTTCATAGTTTTAAAGAAGAAGATTACTTTAAATAGCATGACCTGAACCTCTTTATTAACATGAATTCTCAGAATCTGTTCAAAAAATAATAATAATAGAACATAATTGAGTTTTTTCAAATGCTTGTTTTTCAAATTAAATGATTCAAGTTTTTAACTGATTTATTTTAGTTTAGACTGAATTCATTTTAGCTCTATTGCGAAAGAAGCTAGAATATTACAGTTTCTGTTCAGTACTGAACAATTAGGGTAATTTTTTTTTGCTCAAGAAAACAATTTGCCTCTGACCAGGTTTAAACCCAGGAGGCTACTGATCCTTAGATTACTAGTCCCTCATATTAAACACTACTAGTGACTAGGACATGTCGCCACTTAAATGAGATTTCCTTTGTTTTAAAATGATGGTTTTAATATCAAGATATATCAGAATCAGAATAATGAGGAAGAAATTAACAAAATTGACAATGTTAACATACTTACCCATTGATAGGATCAACTTTAAGCTCATGAGGTGGGTTGGGTACCAGGTCTAATGCTACAATACACTGGTTCCAGTCATCAATTATTATGGTACACTGGTAAATCTATATAAGAAATAAAGCCTTGTGTGATTCCTTATGTCATTAAAATGGAAAAAGAAATATTGACATTGCAAGTTTAACATATAAAACAGCTCAATTATCATCTCAAGTTATGTTAAAGTAATGTTAAGACCACCTTGTCATGAAGGATGTTTTATATTGTATCAATTTGATTTTAATGAATAATTTTGTTTAATTCTAAATGATGACTTCATGTATTTATACATGTACATGTACATTATACTGCATTGTAATACAACAAAGGTTTTCTAGCAATTTTGGCTGTAAATGTACATGTATCTGACATGAAGTGTATGTGTATCATTCTAAAATTAAGGTATACATATGCAATAAGGTATACATATGCAATAAAGAAAGGCATTTTTGTTTATTTTTTAGCTTTGTTATTTTTCAAGTTTGTTAGCTAACAAAATGACTCATTTCAAAGTTGGATTGTAAAATTGATGAATTATGTTACCCTAATTTTTTTATATGCCCTTAATTAACTCCCCTTAAATGGCAATAAGGTCCCGGACATCCGGGACTGTCCCAGAAATCAGGTGACTGTGACGAAGGAGTCCTGGAGGTGATTTATGTCTCAGTAAAAAATAAATCTAAAAAAAAATCACCTATGCAGCAAGAAATATTATACATGTATTTTATGCAGTTTCATTTTAAAGTTAATACATGTACATGTATTAACTATGCTGATAACAGAACGATTGTCTGCAGATACTACATGATTGTATAGCAGTAGTCAGGGAATGGTGACACTAATCCTTTGTTAGGTAAATCTATGTGGTCCCTTCAAACATGTTTTACAACTGAAGGTAACTTTATTTGTTCTCAAGTTATATATCATATATTGTCTTACCCGGTGACCATCTATTACATAGGCTTTATTATGTAGCCAATCTACGTCGATTGCCGTGGGTTGACCTAACATTGGATACATGTCCTCCTTTAACGTTTCTCCATCGATGTTGACTAGAGTTACCTGCCCACTGTCGTCTGACACCAGCACCAGTTCCCGTTTAACATGTACGCCAACACCTTTAATATATACCACAATTCATTATTTAATGATAAAAACGAAGAAGTGAAATAATTTGTTTGTTTTTTCTCAATTATTTCGAACGTTCAACTAAACCCAATTGTAAACTACTAAAAACTAAAATTTTACATTACATTCGCAATAAACCCTTGATTTGATGGCATCAATGTTATCAGAACGCAAAAACGATTCGTAAAATTAATTACTCATATAATATCTTAAACTTAGATATCTTAACAGTTTAAAGCAAAAACAAGTTAAATTGCTTCGATCACTTTGCCAAAAATCTGTTAGATAATTTTGTCTTTCTGCTTTAGATTTCACATTTAAACATCTGAATTTTTTTCATTCTCTTATTGTGCAATCATACATGACATTTTAATGGCAGAATTTTAGAAATTACAAAAATTGTAAATGATTACTAAATTGGATAAAGCTGAAATTACTAATATAATGTTTATTATTTATTTTAACCACTTTTCAGCAAGTTGATTAAGAACATGCAAGTCTAATTGATAATAGAAATTCACTGTCTGCAAAAGTGTACTTAGTGAAACTATCTGTTCAGAGGCACATAAAAATTCTAAATTTCAGTTGAAACAAAATAGTGCACTTTACTTGGAAGTTCTGCTAAACTGTGGTGGCTAAATAAGTTAATCAAGCAATTCTTACATCAAAGTCTGACGGAAAAAAAAACAACAGAATAAAAACAACACCATGCAAAGTACCAGTTCACAACATCTAAAAACTGATGATGTTTTTATATATGAGGAATGTAGAGTAAGTAATGAAAATGTATGTTTCTGGGAGGAAAGGAACCCAACCTTACTGAAATGATGCCAAAGGATCATTTAAGAAAGAACCTAACCAACCTGAAATGGTGCCAAAGGTTCACTTAACAATAAATTAACTAGAATGCAATGGGAACAGAGTTTGCACTGTATTTCAAACTGCAATAGCAGAGTACATAGTAGCAAACATAACATATCGTGAGTAAATTTTGTTGGAAAGATACCAACTTGGTAAGAAAAAAACTCAGAAACCATCCAGTGTCATCAGGTAATAACAATTATTGTCATTATTTTAGCACCAGATGCTTCCTCTATAACCAATAAAAAATTATCATAAAGTAATGAACACTGGAACTGGAAAGCAGTTTCAGGTATTATCTATTCAAATACTATTACTATCAAATTGGTGTCTTGAAATAGTACCGGTATATACATGTATATACTTGTGTGTCTTAAAATAATAGCCAATATTTCTGCAAAAATAAAGTGTACCAATATTGGTACACAGCATTTGTTATATACTCTATTGATAAAGATTTTGATTTTTAGTAGAATATTGTTCCTAACATAAGGACTGGAACATGAATACTAAAGTTGAAAATACCTAAATTTAAAAATAAAACTAAAACAAAATTTGATTGGTTGATAAGATGGGCATGATATTCTGATGATGAAGGGGGAAACTTGGGTGAACATTTTCGTTACCTTGTACAAGCTCAACGCTTGAATTACTTTGATATAATATTGTAGTCCCGTCTGAGGAAAGCAGAAGAAAGAAAATAAAAACAGAATCAAGATTATTCACGAAGAGAAACGTCTGAAATTCTTTCATTTCTTACAGTTTATTATAAAGTCTTAACTATAACTATTCTACAATATAATATTGCTAAGTAACATAAATTGTAATGAACCAAAATAACAATCAACTTTTTCAATACATAGATGCAATTCTTCTTGGTACCGTATATGAGTTTTTTTTTCTACTACATGTAAAACTGTCATTTACTGAAGCCCAAAATAAATGTTGAAGAAACATTACGGCTTTCAATTTAGTTAACGCTTTTACGCTTATTATGAACAGCATTCAATAAAATTAAAATTGTTAATTGTCATTTTGGATCCACAACATGAGGTACTTCCTTTAAAGCATGTTGCTGTAATAGTTAATGAACATGTATTTTTAGTGTGTAACTTTGTTACATGGAATAACTCTGTCAAATAACTTCAAGGAAAATCTTGTTCTAAGAGAAATCAATACATTATACATCCAATTTCAAGTTACGAAAAATCAGTAAATTTCTCAAATTTCATACCTATTTTCATCCAACTTATTCAAAAGCAACACTCCAATTCTGAATCTTCAAGATAACATTAATTGGTTTAAACTTATTCAGTTTTTATATACATGTTAATGCCTTAATACAACTTCATGTATTTTAGTAATAAATGTCAAGAAGACATAAAATTTTAATGTAATATATAAACTGCTAGGTGATTATCTAAAACTGCTGTTAAAAAGTCAAATGTTTAAATACTAAAAATGATAAAATAAACATGCACTGGTTAACATAGCTTAGTTCTTTGAGGGCAAGAGGTAAGAATAAGACAGAGCTATGTAAGACCTTGGTATATGACACAGCCAGGCAAACCTACATATCCTGATTGTAAAATTATATAAAAACTTTTGGCTTTCAACTTAAGTATTCTGATATTAAAATACTTTTAGCTGTGCAAGTTCAGAAAGTCGACACTGTCTCTGTCTATGTTGATTTATACAAAATTTATATTAATTCAATTGTATACGAAGCTATAAGCTTATAGGCACACTGGAATTACTGTCTAGGTTGAATGTCTATGTCACCAGTAGAGATTCAAAATGACCTGTTAAACTGTGCAATAGGGCCAGCTGCAGTTTGTGTGAATTTAGCATTAAGTTAATCTAAACAAAGGAAATTTCAAAATTAGAATCAGGAGCAGGCCATTCATAAAGGTTAAATTAAAACCTGTCAGCACTAAAATTGAATTCTGTCTAAATCTGAAAGACAAATAAATGTAATTAACAAGTATAAGAACCATTCTGTGTAAAAAATGTGCTGGCAATATGGAGAATGTCAGGATAACTTTCCTGAAATATGACAACTCACAATTTCTTATAATAACAAAAACCATTCTATAAGGCTATAAGAGTATGTAAGATTTGTTTCTCCATCTTTTCTGTAATAAAATCTGTAAATATATGAGAAAGATATGAAGTTACTCAGGGACCAGTATTTATACCTGAAATAATATAAGGATAGGAGAGGTAATTATGCCGTCTGCCTATCCCATTGAATGTTTATTTGGAACAACTATCTGACAACAATGTTTAGTGTGACCTAAAACAAACAGAAAATGATGTAAAAAAAATAATTAAGTCTACTAAAATGTCTGTAAATATTTCACTAATTTTGAAACATTTTAGAAGGAAGGCCTAAGGTATTTAATTCATAAATAATGAATTCTGCTTAAAGCCGGTGCTACAGGGCAAGGGTGAAAGCTTGGCTTTAATCACAAATGCTCCATCAGACCAATCCTGTAACACTTTTAATTTTGCTATAACAGGCAAACTTTAAGATTATCTCTTTTGCATAATTATGTTTTGTGATGAACCTTGTGTGTGTTATTTTCAGATAATTTTCAACATTCTGTTCTAACAGAAATTTCAGTTTCAATAACGGAATTATATTACTTAATTATAGGTGACAACAATTGAAATACTTAATCATTAATGCATCCAGTATAAAATATTTTCATATGGCTGTTTTATTATGATTTTTATTATGTATTATGTAATATTTCTTGCATATCATACAGGATTATCTACTGTATACAACGGTGCAAGAAAATCCTGTCTTAAATCCTGTAAGACAAGTAACGTGTTTTAAATGACATCATTCCCACACGACTGATGACTTATGAATGAACTGCGTTCTTTGGAATAAGTCATTTTGCGGTTAAAAATGAATTGTCAATTCATACGCTATCATAAGAAAAAAGTGTTAAATGAAAATATTAGTTTGTATTATGTCTTTTCAAGAAATCATCAATTTGTAATATGCAAGAACCTGCTGTTGTCTAGGAATATCTAGCTCTCGGGTAACTGTTAAGCGGAAACTCGGCAGAGCCTTTTTACCGCCGAAAAACAGATACCGTTGAGCTAGATATTCCATTCTGTACTGGCAGCTGGTGTAAGGTTCGTATAGTGTACTGTGTACAGTATGGGCCGGTGGACTGTTTAATTATTGCAGTAAACTTTTGAGTTTTAATTTGAATTCATCAAGTGCCACCTGTCATAACATCCGAGCAATCTAACCCTATGTTGCTCCCATAGTTACAGACCTTAAAATTTGTTAAATTTATGTTAAACAAAGTTGGCATGGGACAGATCCATTTTAAATATTCAACAAAATTATAATGGTTACAAGATTAATATTCACATTCTCATAATACTGCTTGAAGTCATAATCTAGTTATTTACTTCTAATTTGCAGAAGACATAAAAGTCATGTCAACAGTTTATTTTATTAATAGGTAAACATTAGCTACGTTTTTCCCTAAGTCTCAGTTATCTAACAGACGTAGGATTTTTTTTGTCACAGTTAAATTCTGGCAGGGTTTACGTATGGCATACTACACTAATGATTATTTTACGAGGCCTTGCCGAGAGATAAGTCTGCAGCTGTACAATGCATGTGCCACTGTTTTACTTGGCTCATACTCTCTGCCATGCATTCTTTTTATTTTTCATACTGCTTTTCTCCAATTACAACAAAGACTGTTTTCACAAATTTGACTAGAACTAGGAATATCTAAGAGTTAACTGCAACAGTGTTTTAACCTGTTTTGTAAGTTTATGGAGTGACGACTGTTTTGTAATAGTTTAGTATTTTACCCCAGAGTCTGATCTGTTACTGTAAAACTGCACGCTCATAGTCTGCAGACACTGCTGGTTTTTGACCGGCATTCAAATAACTGTTTCTAATCCTTGTAGTTAAAAGAGACCAGCTTACATGGTAACTATGTATCTAAGCATCTAAGACATTGTCATTTTTTTTTAAAAGTGATGTCTTTCAAAATGAAGTAATTGAGAAGATATTGGTTTAAACATATTTATTTAAACTCAATTGCGAAACAAGTTCTTGCAACTTATATTAATCACTTTCAAGTCCGCTTCCTGGAACCAACCAGTACTGGTGTCAATTGAAGAAACATGGTCATGACCCGATTAAGGCTCGAACCCATGATTCCATTGGTTTAGAGGCAGACACCATAACCAGTAGGCCACCGCTCCCCTTAAGATATTAAATATACCTTTACCAATATCATCATAATACATTGTCTTCTTTCTTTTCTTTTCTTTTTCTTTTTGTTTGACAGGTTTTAAGTCACTGTAACACAAACACTATTTAGGTTTTAAGATGGCTTATCACCTTTATACTGATTGAGGAAGACCTCAGTTGCCACTCCGTAAATCATATAATTATTATATCATCAATTTATTCAACTTTTGAACCTGTATAAAATAAATTAATAACTGCTGTGTCAAGCAGATTCTACATTATATCACATTGAAATACTAAAAATCTATTTATTATACATTTATAAGATGCCGAACTTGATGACTTCGTTTAAAAATTATCGCATTTTAGACTATTGAATATTAAAAGATGAACAATCTTCTATCAATATGAACTAACTGTTCAAGTTATGATGAACTAGATAATGTAAATGACAACCAAAAAAAAAAAAGAATACATGGCAGACAAGATAATTTTGACAGATAGAATAATAAATCTCTGTACAATAATAGATGGACTGATTTACTTCAAAACTGTCAACTGAAATCATTCTTGGAGCAGACAATTGCTAATGGGGATAAATGGAGATCACTTTTGACAGAAATATATCAAAAGGCAATCAATTACAATATATACTAACTTCTGTTAACTTAATAATATTTGTGTCCATTCTTTTTTGCTCACTTTGAAATTTATCATTTTAACTCTATACAAAACATAAAAAATAATTTTCAATTTTCCAACCAATGTCTAAGTCATAGCCTGTAGGCAACTATTAAAGAATATTAACTCAGTTTTCTCATTTTTTTCTTTAACCAATAAAAACTACATATCAATATAACAGAACTCTTGAAAAAAATACTGCCTAAAAACATTACATGTATCTTGAACTTACAACCTCCAAGTAATCTTCATTGTCTACAGTTTAACTGTCCTTTAGCATACTTAAGATTTTCTTTTTAAAATTGCTCTTTTCCATAACATATGCCCTTAAACGATTTGACTTGCATTTATTTTGCCAAAACTTCTGTCCATTAAATAACCCTCTATAAATTCTCTATAAATTCTCCTGTCTAAAATACTGGCATCATTTAAAACATATATTGGTTTCTCTGAGAATTCCTTAGTGATACATAAAATGTATAGGGCAATTTTTACAGAGGAAAACAGATATGACTGTCTTCACTCTAAATCTGAACCATTTACCGATAAGAATCACTGCACCTTACAAGGAACTAAATATTGTTTGCGTAAGACACATGAAACAATCTCACCATGATCAGAAAAATCAAAGCATCAAACTGGTCCTACATTTCCACTACCCTCATAAATGGGCCTGTCCTGCTCTTACTTTGGAATTGTCCATGACCGTAAGGTTTTAGAGAATTCAATCTTAATACAGTAAAAACTCCCTGAACC